GATTGCAATAGTAGCGGGGCAGTCTTCGCTCGCTTTTAGTGCGGTAATCACCTTCTTGTAACGTCGGACGTGAATTGTCGCTTTCGCGCGCGTCGTCGTCGTCGTCGTCGTCGTCGTCCGAACCGCCCTGCGCATCGAATCGGAGGTATGATATATCGCGCGTGTAACCGGCACCGGCAAGAGGCGAAGAGCGCGGGGGCAAAGCGGCTTAACCGACTTTCCTCGGGATTTTAGAAAACGAATCTCTCGTGAGCGAACACGCGCTCCCTCTCGCTCCCTCCCCGTCGCGTCCCACTTGCAGTCTTTATTCGCTCTTAATCGGTTCGATTTAATTGAATTTAAATTAAACCCGTGACGCGCGAGTCGGATCGTCGTCGAGTGCTCGTCGACGTATTTCGTTTTATCGTGGTTCTCCCATAAGAAATCCCCAACACGATTTCCCCTACTCTTTTCGGTCCAATTCGAGTTACAATCGGCGACGCGCTTTTGATTCCGCAGCTTCTTCTCCCCTTCTCGTCCTGCTGCTCTTCAGTTCCTCCTCGCGATGGTGGACTCTGTGTTTCGTACGCGTTCCCTCGGCACGCCGGCTGAAGGTGTGAAGGATCAATACGCAGACGGCAAGGCAGCGAAGGTCTGGGAGGTCTTCATCGGTGACAAGAAGTTGCGTACGCAGAACTATCGGGACTTCCTGGTGGGCCTGCTGCGGCAGAAGAAATGCCGCCGAATACTGGACGTCGCCTGCGGCACCGGCGTCGACTCCATCATGCTGCTGGAAGAAGGCTTCGAGGTCGTCAGCGTCGATGCGTCCGATAAGATGCTGAAGTACGCGCTGAAATCCAGATGGGATCGCAGGAAGGAGCCGGCCTTTGACAAATGGGGTAAGAATGTCGGGCATTTGGCGTCAAGAGGGAATCGAATCTCCCATTGGGTCGACAGAGAGAGAGAGAGGGGGGGAGAAAGAGGGGGCAAGAGAGAGTACGAAAGGGAATGAACGAAAACGAAAAAGAGAATAAGAAAAGGGAGAAAATGAAAAGGTGAGATGGAAAAAATGAGTGAGAGAGAGAGAGAGAGAGAGAGAGAGAGAGAGAGAGAGAGAGAGAGGGAGCGGGAGGAGAAGATAGATCATTCAGAATAGATCGCCTGTCGCAACATTCGGTAAATTTTTCATAATCGAGTACAACATTGACAGTTCTCGTATATATCTGTTTATCCCGATCGAGACGCTTCGGTGGCGTCAGGCTGATATGAAAACTGATGTTTTACGAAAGTTCGATGTTTGCGATGAAACATGAGAGATCGTAAGTTCAATGCCATCGCAACGTGGATTAAACGTTGCTACACGTGCACGCCGATTCCGCGAGAGAGAGAGAGAGAGAGAGAGAGAGGGAGGGGGAGAGAAAGAGAGAGAGAGAGAGAGAGAGAGAGAGAGAGGGAGGGGGAGAGAGAGAGAGAGAGAGAGAGAGAGAGAGAGAGAGAGAGAAAAAGAGAGAGACAATAGGTCTGTGTTCGCGTAACCGCACCTTCTCACCCGCGACCCCTTCGCCCTTACTTCCTCCAGCGTTCGAACATGTGTCCGTCTCGTTCAAAGTGTGAAAAGCACGAGAGATGTTCGAGCAACATCGAGGCGAGCTTGATATTTACAGTACAGTGCAACACATTCAGGCGAGATAAGATTTGAGGCAAGCCGCGGCGAAAACAGCCGCCGCGCACGCTTATCATTATCATGCGAGGGAAGAACGACATTGAGAAGGAAGGGTCTTTGCCTTATCGGCAAAGGTCAATCGCGGCTTGCGTGTCTCCGTCTCCCTGGGTGTTTCCGAGCTTCCGATTCTAAACTGGTAACCCGAGCCGATCTAAACGCGAGAGAACGTCACCCGATCGTGAAATATTCGCAATTACGCCTAGCTCGCGTCCGTGATCGCGGCACTTATTGGCGTCTTTCGTAATTTGTGACAGTGATCGAGGAGGCGAACTGGCTAACCCTGTCCAACGATATCAGTCACCTCATCGGCGAGGGCTTCGACGCGGTGATATGCCTGGGGAACAGCTTCGCCCACATGCCCGATTCTTTCGGCGACCAGAGAGAACAAAGGTAGACCACGCTGAATCCGTTCGTCTCAGGCCTGGTCTGCGATAAGAACTGACCAATTGTAGCCGATTATTTCTGTAATAATCGACTGTAATTCGCCGATTCTTACGGCTTACAACTTACGACACGTATTGTGGGCCAGGCCTTAATCTACCTACGTATTGTTGACACTCTGTCAATCTTTATCTACGTCGATACGCCGGAGCGACAATTCTCTCGAGCGGTACTTGACGAGCGAGAGCTCCGAAGATAATTAGCGCTCGGCTTTCTACGAACCGCGACCGGTTTTAACCGCACTCGATTCTCCAATCAGGCCGTCTGGTATCTTCGTTACCGGGAGAATTGTACAATGAACAATTAATATTTATCCAACGTAATGAGACGTAACGAGTCGCGTTGGCGGTTGCATTGTCCAAAGTAACCGGCCTCCGCTTCTTGGCTTCTTGGCCGCGAGTTATAAAGATACACAGCGATGCAGGCTGGGCTGGCAGATAACCGAGATTTGCCGGGAATGTCTCGGAATTCTCAAGCTTGCCCCGTGTTGCCAGGAATTTTTCAGTCCTCTGTCCCGGAAAATCAGAATTTCAACAAAATCACGATCATAACATTCGTGTTTCAAGCTGCTACCAGAGAGAGAAACCTGAGAGAGTGTGGTCACCGCGATTTATACAGGGCCCAACTTTTCGACGTGCCACCTAAGAAAATTGATGTCAACTGAGCCATTCACGTGGTGAAAAAATACAATCGCACTGTTCGTGTCCAAACCTCTCTCTGCTGGCTGCCTAATTCACGCATTTGTTCGTTGCGAGCGGCATCTCTTAGCCGTCTCTTACCCCTCTATCTCTGAGATTCAACTAAAATTCTCTAACAACCTATTTTTCAACCGTCGCCTGAGAAATAGTCATCTCACACCTGGCAACCCTAAGGCAGACAGAGACCGAATTCTCGAGTCAGCCGGCAGCTCATTGAGCGTTTCGTTCCGCTGAACGCGAGTATTTATCGCGGCTGATCGACGATCTCTGGCTTCGCCGGGGTCTGGCTTCGTCTATTGGATTAGGTAGACGGACGGTATCTCGGGTGTGTCGGAAACGAAAGTTACAGATGGAAGACTCTATCATTTCAGGCTAGCCTTCTCGAACTTCGAGCGCTGCGTGAAGCCGGGCGGTTTGCTCCTCATCGATCACAGGAATTATGATTACATCATCCGGACCGGCCAGACTCCTTCGAAATGTATATATTACAACGTAAGTACCGCTCCCTTACCTCGCTCTTGCCTGTTAATCGTTACCTTCGGCGCGTCGGGTGGAAAAACGACGACGACCGCTCGTTGAGTGCGAATCCTAGTCGATCCGCTCGCCCGCACTGCCCGAGAGAACGAGAAGAGCCATTAGTCTCGAAATTGTCAACCCCACCGAAAACCTCGCGCTAAGGATTCCCCCGCTCCCCCCCCCCCTCCCCCCGCCCCCGTGTTGCAGAGTCAGCATATGACGGACATCAAGACGTCGGTGCTCTACGTATCCGGCAAGCCCACGATCGTTACTCTGGATTACATGATCTCCTTGGACAACGAGAACCCGGACAACCCCGAGTCCATCAGCGAGTTCCGGCTGTCGTATTATCCTCACAGGCTAACAGTCTTCCGCGATATGCTGACCGAGGTGTTCGGCCACGGGGCGAAACACACCATCTACGGGGACTTCAAGCCGCTCAATCAGATCGAGGACCCCGGCTTCTACATCCACGTGCTGGAGAAGCAACGTTAGAGTCAGGTTGACCCGTGCGACCTGCGACGATTCGCCTCCGGTGCGTTCACCGGACCGTCGCGCAGTGGGGCCAGATGACACTTTTTGGTTCAAGATTCTCTAGAGACCTGAATTTCCAATCGTCGACACCAATGGATGAGGTTGATCCTGAACAAATTCCAAAGAGATCTGTCTAGCCGAAATTTTGAAAAAATTATCGGTAATCAAGGTAAACATGGGTTCAGGGTTTGTCTGAAAAGTGTTTATCGTTTAAAGTAACAGTGTCTTGGGTTCGACCTCAGTGGGTTCGAGCCCAGTGGCTAGATTGGGTTCTTGGACTGTTTGGGGCTCTTAATATATACGGTTTCATGCATCCACGAGCTAAAAAGTTCTCGGATTGATAGATTCCTAGGTTGATGGGCTTAAGACTCAAAATCCCTCAGGTTTTGCGCTTAACAGGTCTATATTTTGGGCATATGAGTTTTGGGTTAATGGTCTTCTGGTTCAAGATCGATAAATCTCGAGGTGTCTGTTGATTGGTTTCATAGTTTCAATCCGCTGAATACGCTGAATATTAGATAGAAATAAGTGTCAAATAATGAGTGTTTCACAAGTTTCTCGCGCTTAACGATAATTTTTCGTCTTTTGGGGCCAGAAATTCGTGAGAAAAATGGTTTTTTAGATTTTGCCAAGACAGAGGTCCCTTCGGAATTTATTCAGGATCAACCTCATCCGGTTGGTGTCGATGATCGGTTGGAAATTCAGGTCTCTAGAGAATTTTCAACCCAAGAATGTCACATGGCCCCACGAGTGCGTCGAAGCAATTGGCTGCTGCTCGACGCGCAGAGTCAATCTGCTCGGTCGTCGTGCAAAAGATTTCTTTCCTTTTTTCATCAAACGAGCGAAGAAGATTAGTTTTAATGTATATGTGTAGTACGCTGGGCTCCAAAACGGCTTGAACGGCTTTATTTTCCGGTGAAGTTAGAAACACTTCAAGTGTCACAATTGCAAGCCGTTGCTGACGAGCTTGAGCAGTAATCGGTCACGACAGTAGAGCCAAATGGTGACAGTAAGTGACAATATTAATCCTATCCGTAAAAATGAAGATTCCTATGCCTTCCCGAAGTTCTCGGTTGCAGCTCGGTTGACGTTTGAAAAATATCGTCGCTTCGGTTGCTGTCGGATTGCCTGTCGTTCACTCAGGCTCGCGATCGTTCGTAGGTCCTAACGGTGTCTTCAACTTGAGCGAAAACAATAATCGTCTAAGCCGCTCTGCAGTCGTATGTACATACATTAAGACTACTCACTCTGTACAGTAAATTTTATACTTGCAAAATTGTCGATAAGTGTTGAGAATAAATATAGCGAAGAGAGAGAGAAGTTGTAAAAATGGTGAATAACGAAGAGAGGATCCTCTCCTTTCCTGAGAGGGAACGTGTTTCGAATGACAAACAACGTGCGTGTAAGTTTTAACGTTTTTATTATAAGTCTGAAAGCAGCTTTTCATTGAGTATTCTAGCCAGGCATTGTTCGATGCTACAACTTGATCTCCCAAAGAATACTTTTTTTCCGAGCGATCGTTGACGATGACTTTTGCTGGGTAATTTTGGACGAATTTTTTCGTGTCTCCTCCTTGCTCGCTTCCTTCCTCACCCGTCCTGTCTCCTCTCCTCTTTTCTCGTATCCCTTTCGATATTTCTCGCCTTTCTCGCGCAATCGATGTTTCGGGTAAACGATTTTTGGATCAGTAGGAAGACTAAACGCACGTTCGCTGCGCGCCAATCGACATTCCGTGCATCGCAATCTCCACGTGAGACGCGACGAATCGTATCGTCCTTTCGTGATCCTCTCATTAGCGCCGGTCTGACTGTGTTCCACACAGACTCACCGACCTCCATCCGAGAATTGACATTGAAACACCTGACGCGTCATCCGCTCTATCAGTCGTCAATGATCGTTCCAACTTATAAAGTTATCGGCGCAGAAATTGTTCTCTCTCTCTTTCTTTCTCTCTCTCTCTCCCTCCCTCTGTCCTTTCGCTCGCTCGAGAACTCTCACGCTCGACTCACCCCCTGAGATCGTTTCGCCGAAATTTCATAAAGCTTCGCAAGAATTCTCCTCATCGTCGCGCGGAGATTAGAAATCGAACTCCGAGGGACCGAGTGTCAGAGTTTGGACTAGAGTGACTTTGCGTGAGAAAGGAGAGCAAGATGAGAAAGATGAGAGAAAGAGAGCAGAATATAGAGTAGAGTAAAGTAGAATACAGAGAGGCGGGGATGGAGAGGTGAAGGAGCGAACAAGCGGGCGGCGGCGGAACGGAAGAAATTAAATTCGGTGTCTGTTCGATTTCTTCGATGTGGCTTATCGCGGCATCGCGAAACCAAGAGGGTGTCTCTTCGGAAATGACCGAGGACGATAATTTACAAAGGCCAAGGACTTGTTTACGGTGCAACGAACTGCCTATATAGAAAAATGGACGAAGTGTTATAGCAAAAATTGTCCTCCCTTCTATCAATATATATATATATATTTATATTTATATATTTATAGTTTCTTTTTTTCTCTGTTTTTTTTTCGGTAACTATTTATATGTATGTGTATATATATATATATATATATATATATTCTTTCAATTAACGTTATTATTCATGAAATTCGTACATCACGGCTTCTTCGATCGTCGTCGTCGTCGTCGTTGTCGTCGTCGTTGTCGTCGTATTGAATTTCCACGCGCTTAAAAGGCTTTCGAGATCGCGCATGGCGATTGTAACATTCTACTTGGCGTGTCGTGGCTAATTAACGCTGTACAGGTAACAATAATATATATATGTATATATATATATATATAACGATAAAATATACACGAATCATATCGTTTCCAAGAGTTTGTTTAAATCTACCACGATATAATGAGAGGGATATCGTGACTCAAACTCCATCGTCATCACGATATTGTTCGCGCGTGTGTGCCCGTGATTAAAGTAAATTTTTACGGGAAGATGTAACGTGCGCGCGCAGGCCAGCTCGCGCCGACGGAAATCGCCTCGCGATAACGAAATTCTGACACGTTTCACTCTCCGACGCGATTTCTTCATTCTTTAATCCGAGATACAGAGAGCGCCGCGTCGATATAAATTATGCTAGGCATACAATAGAAACTTTTCTCATGATAATTTCGCGAGAACGGCGGAGTCACTTTCGCCCGTGAGTTCGTGACGATGTACGTGCCGCGTATAATTCGTCCTAGCGAGTCCTAGCGAGATTGACTTCTTTCCGTGCGAAATCTCTCGTCTCCGAGCGAGAAAATCAGCACGCAAGGTCACGGACGACGGATGACTCGTGTTGCGACATTGTTGTTTCCGACATTGCCGACTCGTTCGTTATTGCAAAGTAGCTGACCGTAAAAAACCGTACTATCATCAGCTGTGTGTGTTTGTTCTCTCGACGTTTCTTGCGTCCAAGGACGATCTGCCCGTTGCAAGCTGCGTCAAGCGAAAGCACGCGCGCACGAGGAATATAATTGCGATTACATATCTTCTAATTTTTAATTATAATCTTTTGGATACATCCGTATTTTTTGTTCGCTTCAGATATCTCATTCGATGTTTCTTATCTCGTTTCTGCCGCGATTAAAAAGTTAAAGAGGAAAAAGAGAGAAAAAAATATACAAAGGTTCAACGCGAGCTCGCTATTTCTGCAAGAGTCTCAATGCGATAAGTGGAAATTATCACCGCGCGACAAAGTGACGACAGTGAGAGAGTAAGACGATTTGGTCGAACGGGGCAGATCGAACGGAGGGAACTCCGTTTCTTTTTACATTCCGACGCTTTTTTCTTCTTCCTCTTTCTTCCCTTCTTTCTCTCCGCTCCTCCTCCTTCCATCGGCATAACGTCCGCTCTCGTTCTCGCTGTCCTCTTTCGCAATTGTTCTTCTACGAAAAACTCTACGCGACATTTAACGGGCAATACTCCGTGCGACTTTGCACCCTCCCGAGGTATAGGATATTGCTTATTGAATATACTTAGGATAGTACTTATCGAAAGCCGCGATATATCACATTATACGTTATTATTATTAGCTAAAGATCTAACGAGTGTGTTTGATTCAGTTTCACCGCTAAAGAGCACAACTCAGAGAAGACGAGTGACTTTTCTCTCGAATTCGAGAGATTCACGCCGGCGGATGACGCTCGTTCGGAATCTCGGCGCATCGCGACAAACAATCGCAAAATCGCTCATTTGTTCCTCCAATGAGATATCTTTGTACGAGTGGTCACGTTGGAACCATTAGCGGCGATTTCACGCGATCTCAGATCACACTCTCCCTTCCTCTCCCCCTAAATCCCGCGCCATAAATTCGATTGTGCTCTTCGGGATTAACGGAGATTATCTTGCCAAGCTGTCGAAGGTGATATTGCCTCGTTAAACCTCGCCACCCGTCAATACCGCGGATTTAATTAACATCTAGCGTGTTTCAGGTGTGTTCCCCTGCCTCGCGCCGCCTCCTCTCTCTCGTGTCGTTGTTCCTGTTGAGGTGTCTGCCAACTTGCAGTTCGTTGGATCTTCCCCTCCCCCCTTCCCCGTCTCGGGCGGCGGCCGACAGAAGCTGCGAAATTTCCCGGTAAACCCGCTTGCGCTCGCTGAACGACGACGACGACGACGACGACGATGCTTGTGTTAATCAGGCGACGGCGACTCGTGCCGAGAGCGAATCGAGCTCGTGTTATGCGTTTGGATTGTTTCGGAGCGTCGTTTGTTCCCGCCGTGGTAAGATGAGAGGGCAGCGGTAATTGACAACAAGCTGGATCTCTTTTCTCTGTTCCCCCCCCCCCTCTCTCTCTCTCTCTCTCTCTCTCGACTTTAACCCCATCGATTCGTAGTCGTCGCTCCATTTCCCAAGTCTGAAGTGAAACCGGCACTCTGCGCGAGGCGTACTTCATCATCGAAAATGCTTCACGAACGTCGTGCGGTAAATCGTGCTTTGGCAAAAGTAACTCCCTGGCTGCCCGGCCTCTCCTCCTTGTGACGACGCTCGACGACCCTCAGGCCTCGCCTTCTCGATGAGGAGCCCGTTGCTCGCGCTGTTAACCCGGCGTTCGCGAGCGTTCGCGCTCCCTCATCCCCGAGATGAAAGTTACGAGTTGCAAAGTCGAGCGTATTTCTAGCGTGTATAACGGGCCCGCGCGATATGATTAGCGCGTGAAAAGATCTCAGCGTATCGCTTTGTAACATGACCGACGAGCGCGATAGACGTGGCTTAGTCGCTACAGTTTCAACAGTGTTAAACCTTTCTTTCTTTCTCGTTTTTGCGTATAAGTGTATAAACTACGATAGAGCCAGCTATATCGTTCCTGTCTCTAGAATATCTATTTAACAAAGTCCTCGTAAACTGTCTGATAATTCATTATCTGTCGCAACATGAAATTATATGGCTATATTTACCCTCCGCCATCCCCTTATTATTATATTTATATATATATACACGCATATATGTCTATATGTGTACGTACGTGTGTATGTTGCATGCGCTTTGTGTGTGTGTGTGTGTGTACGCGTGTTTTAGCTTCTATACTTTCGATTTGATCAAATGACTCGGCCGATGAGAATCACGCCTTTGCCTCCTTCGCTCGTCCAATGTCCAACAGATTCACTCTCCTACTGTGGGTGGATAAACGTAAAACACAAAAGGATACAATCAGGAAGCGGCTGAATGAAGACTGCAGAGAATCGTCGTCAGATGTGCCATGATTGTCGACGCAAACTAAATGACTTTTGTGAATAATTCACAGTCGTCGGACTCGATCCGACGAGGGTTCGCGAAGAACTGACTGATTCGTTCATCGGCTTATCGAATTATAAATTCACCGGCAGAGCCGTCATTCTCACCCGCAGCACCGTCGCGCTCTTTCACGCTCGTATATATATGTGTATATATATATATATATATATACACATATATATATATACATATATATATATATATATAGGCGATATATAATTATGCGAATATATATACATGTCATATTACAAGGTATATACATCTAATATTGCTATTTGGCTCCGTATGCGCGTCATACGGATTTACGAGCGTAGCACCATTCCTGCGTAACAATATTTATTCGCACGCCGGGACTCTGTTCTTCTGCCGACGCGACGCGACGCGTCGTCGCCACCCCCGTCGTTCGCCCTTGACTTGAAGAAGTGACTTCCGAGCGAGATCCGAGCGCGCGCCTCTTTTCCATACTTTGCATACTTCGCCACGAAGCGCTCGTCGGCTCGTGCGAACCGCGACAAGATCAAATTATCCAATGAATGACAAAGCGCGGCCGGGGGTAACGGAGCGACGATGTCCGACAACGCGTCTTCGCAATTCGCGCGACACCGCGACTGACGAAATATGAAACGTCGGGCTTTTGATTGAGCGTCGATGAGTAGCGCGCGACGATGAAAATGGAGATCGGATTCGACGCGGCGATCGGACTCGAAGCTAAACCGCTCCGCGAGCTCGCGCGCGCAAATATGCAACAGTTCGCGGCGACGCGGTTCTATCTTGGATAAAACGGCGATCGCGTTCGCACTTTCATCGAGTTGTTGTTTGCCGAGCTCGACGGGAACACTCGTCCCAATTGTCACGCTCGATCGAGCTGTCGCGCGTCTCCGCTTCCGCCCGGATTATCCGGTGCGTCGTTCGGCGCGTATCCAAAGTAGAAAAGAAGAGAGGGGAAAATGGGAAAAGGAAAAGACGCATACGTTCGTGATTCTCGGGGAGATCAGAACGTCCGAACGTCCCGCACAACCAAACGAGTACAAAACGCTACGCTGCCTCCGAGAGAGAGAGAGAGGGGGGGGGGAGAGAGAGAGAGAGAGAGAGAGAGAGAGAGAGAGAGAGAGAGAGAGAGAGAGAGAGAGAGAGAGAGAGAGAGAGAGAGAGAGAGAGAGAGAAAAGTCGCTGGCTCGGTGTACCGTGAACGCGAACATTCACGTGAACATTCCGATCATGACCGAAGGCTTAGAAATCTAATCACTGATGAACCTACCGCGAAGTCCGCTACGATGCACGAGAACCTACATCTACCGTGTGTGTACAAGGCGAGTAACACCCCCTCGGAGAGTTTTCGATGTCTCGAAGAAGCCGTCGCGTAAGCGAGTAATTCGTATTTTAAGACTGCGTTTATTTACCTCGTTACCGCGTTCATCGTCGCTTTCGATTCTGCGGAATTGTCTCTCAGTGGCCGCTTTGGCCGCTCGAGCTCGCCTCGCTTCGTCTCTCTCAGAACCATCATCTTCCTTCCTTGTTCTTCTCGTTCTTGCCCTTCTTCTTCTTCTTCTTCTTCTTCTTCTTCTTCTTCTTCTTCTTCTTCTTCTTCGTCTTCTTCTTCTTCTTCTTCTTCTTCTTCTACCTCTTCTGCTTCTTCATTCGCGTCTTGAAAAGCGATTAGCGGAAATGCGGAGCTGTTTTTTCTCCCTCTGCCCCTCTCTCTTTAAAAGTACGTACATGTTACCGAAATATGGACGTAACTATCGACGCGTGTTACGATTCGTTAACGGTGACGCGTGGAGAAACTTTCAGAGCCGCAGCTTAGCAGCCGCGTTTGTAGCCGATCGTCACCCGCGGGGAGGAGGTCCGAGCACACGCGAGAAGAACAACGCGGTCGCGCGTGCGCGCGAAGCGTGAACGTTTCAGCCGCGTCACGTAACGTGCCATCTTCCGTCGTGAAGAGCCGATCGATCGATCGACTCCACGTACGCGTGCGAACGAAAGTAACGAAACGGTAGCAGTTCTTCGATGTACATACGCTTCAGAAGCGAGGCAATCGCCGACGCCGGCGCCGGCGCCGGCGCCGGCGATTCCCGCTCGCGGCCGCTCGCCCGAGCCGAGACTCGCTAGAGCACCGCGCGCCGGCCGGAAGTCGCGATCGCGAATTGTCTCACGACGAGGAAGTAGAGAAGCCGCCGCGTCCGGTCGCAACGCGTGAAGAACTTTCACAAATATTCCCTCGGCCGGGGCGGTGGTCTCTTCCGCTCGGATCGCTCGGTCCTGTCGGCGCTCGGCTCTCGGTCGTCGGTGCACTCCAGCATCTGCGTGGTCTCGGTGGCCTCCGACGGGCTGACCGGCTGCGTGGCGAGCGGGGCGAGCGGCGCCGCGCCCTTGTTGCGCGACTTGCTCCTGCGCTTCCGCAGGATCAACGGCCCCAGCGCGTTCGAGTCGTCGCCGCGCGACGTGGAAGCCTGCGCCAGCCGCTCCAGCAGCTCCTTGTTCACGTCCCTCGACGACACCCCGGTCAGTCGATCGGTGTCCTTGAGCCGTTCCGACGACTGGTGGTGGTGATGATGATGATGGTGGTGCTCTTGACTCTTCGGCATACGCTCCGTCGCCGTCGACTGCTCCCGGTAACCCTCGCTCGGCGTCGTGGACGTCGACGTGGTCGCGATCGACGGCTTGTACTCGGTGGTCTGAGTGCCGGACTGCACCACCGTTATGCTCGGGCTGATGACCGACGGCTGATTTTGAGCACCGTTGCCGAAGCTCGAGCCTTTCTGCGCTTGTTGAGGCCCGCCGCCGCCGCCGCCGCTGCCGCCGCCGCCGCCGCCGCCGCCGCCGCCGCCGCCGCCGCCGCCGCCGCCGCCGCCATTGCCACCGCCGCCGGTCGGCGTTGCCGCGGCTGGCGGCAGTCTGTTCATCAGCGCCTGCAGCATGTCTTCGATCTTAGCTAGCCTCTGGTTCACCCTCTGCACCTCCAGCTTCAGGTCCACCTTCACTTCTAGCACCGCCGCGAGGATCTCGCGCTCGTGGCTCGGTTGCGTCGTGATCAGACCGCCGTCGTAGCTCTCCAGACGCCGCAGCTGCAGCTGCTTCGAGTCTACCGCGAGGGTAATTTGCTGTTGCGACGACTGTTGCTGCTGCTGCTGCTGCTGCTGTGGCTGCTGCTGTGGCTGCTGCTGTGGCTGAGCGTCCTTCGGATTCTCGACGTTGTCGCCACCCTCCTCGATCGTACCGCTCAGTTTGGCGAGCTTCGGGAATACCTTGTTGGTGCTGGCGCTCGAGCTCGGGCGCGAGTCCCTCGCGCTGAGTGACCTCTTGAAGGTGTCGCCGGCCGTGCCCGACTCGCTGCCAGAGTCCAAACTCGAGCTACCTGCGACATCGCGCGAGTTTCTCTCTTATAGATTGATCAGCTTACGAAGAACCGTCGTTCTCGACAAAGGCCAATTGTACACTTGTTGCATTAATTACGGTTTCCCAGTCGGAACCGCAACGTCGATTCGACGTCAATGAGGAGTGAATTTAACGTTGATTCAACGTGGTTTCGATCGACCATTTCAAGGTCAACCAACCAAATCAACGTTGAATCAACGTCACGGTTCCGACTGGGTTGTTTCCGGTAGGAATAAAATATGCTTGCGATAAGCTAATTACGCGCTTAGTTGAACCGAGCCTGCAACTGAAATAACACGTTTGCTTTATGTGGTAAAATTGTAACGACAATTCGCAACATCAACCCGAAGGTTCGTCGCGCGCCTCACCTAACAAACGGCCCCATTTGCCCGATCGCGCCTTGACGACGGTTGTGCCTTCCTCGGTGGTGGACTGCTTCCTGGAGTGCGACGTCTCGCCGTCCTTGGCATCCTTACCGTCGCCCTTCTCCACATCGGTGTGTTGCCTCTCTCTGCGAAACCTACGCGCGGTAGTCGAAAGAGAAAAACAGAGATTCGTCTTTACTTCTCTCGGCGCGAACCATTCATACGGGGTGTGTGTACATACGAAGAGGAGAGGTACGATAAAGAAAGGCTGTTATTCCCTATTCCTTAGTTTGGTCAGACCAGGGCGGCAAAAGTACAAATGCATGTAGAGGGGCGAGTGTGAAAGGGGGTGGGTGCTGGACAAAAGACCATTCTCACCAGTGAAAACCAGAAAAACTGCCCATTTCTCCGTCATCAATTTCGCCGTCATTTTCGTTGCTCACCCCGCTTGCGCGTTAAGTTTACGAGGCGCAACCTCGAATCGGTCCCGGGATATCAAGCTAATCGAGTTACCGTCGTAGCACGGAATACGGCCACCTGCTAGGTTACAGAAGTAGAAAAAGAAGGGAGGCGACACACCGCTTGGTTTTGGTGGTTACTCGAGCGACCTACGGAGGTGACGTGCTTACGCGACCCACGACGGCGATGCTGCTCGTCACGGTGGCTGCGGCGGTGGTGATGATGGTGGTCGGTACAGGCGGAGGGGTAAAACATCACGGAAAAAGAGAGAGAGAGAGAGAGAGAGGGAGGGAGAGGGAGGGAGAGGGAGAGAGAGAGAGAGAGAGAGAGCGGGGAAGTTGTGTGTCGGTGAAGCCTCGGTGTTAATTTACCGCATCAGCGTCACTTAGCGCATCGGTAACGCGACGGCTGTGGGGTGGTTATGGTGGTGGTGGTGGTGGTGGTGGTAAGAGTATTGGTAGTTTTCGGAGGAAGCAACCGCGCCGCGAGTGGTAGCGCGGTTCCCAGGGAAATAACTATCGAGTAGCGAGCCCCAGCCCAGGGGAATTTCAGGATCGAGGCACCGAGGGTTTCCGCGGCGTCGAATAACGTCCGAATCATCGGAGCCCGATAACTCGCGCCATAATTACAGAGGCTCCTGCACGCGCTGGAACTTTTTAATTCCGAGCTCTCTCGCGAGACCCTCGCGACGCGATATCGTGGGGATCCTCGTGGCTTTGTACCCCTCGCGAATTTCGCGTATCGTTCCAGCGCCCTAATGGCGTACTTAATGGCGGACCGTTGCGGGACAACTGACCTGTCTCTCCGCCGGATTGTCACGCTGTCGCGCACTTCCAACTGACTTTGACGACTGGCTCTTGATGATCTTTTACAGGCGGATCTTCGTTTCTCTCCTTATATGCCCGACACACGCTACGAAAATGTCTTCTCACATTCGTGAGGACGACGAGAACGTCAGTGTCTACACCCGTGATCTCTTTTCGATCGTTTTTTAGTCGCTGCTGTTCCGATCGCGAATCTGTGTGTCGAGACACTCGATTACTCGATGAATCGAGGCAATACGTGCGCAGAGAGACGATTCCGATGCCATTCGTTTAAAGATGACGTCGCGCGCGACAACGGCCAGCGTCGAGCGACGACGCCGGTTTATCGACGATAACGGTGAGAAATTGCCCGACAAACTTCGGGAATGCCACACTGTTGAATATACATTAAACGTCGACTGGTTGCGCTCTGTATAGTTATTAATTATTGGCGCGGTCGCGCCGCGCGCGCAGCGAAGCGTGACTCGCGTAGGCAGCGGAAGACGTTATTAATATCGCGTTGCGAGTCAGAGCTGTGTGTCGTCGTTCCCGGGAATTGATCGATCAACGATTCAGCTGGAACTTTCGTTATTTCTTTCCAACGGTCCACCGGCGGCGTTGCGGCGAGCCCGCACGTGGGCCGACGAGAATCGGCGACTCGGTCGTGCAAACAACTGTCGGAAACGATGCACGAGATCTAAATGTAACGATATCCCTTCCTTTCCTTTCCTGTTCTATATGCAATTCTATTGAAGTACTAAAGTATCATAATGTATCGCTCCATGCAGTCGATTGAATCGAGAGAGGCAAGGCCCGTCTCAGATTCCTTTCGTGTTCAATCGAACAAAAGTTTCTTATTCGTTGCAGAAGATAGTTGCTAGTCATAAGGTCACTATAATATAAGATAAGCAAACTCGAGTGTATTATTTCTTCTATCATGGTCATTAAAGTCTCTAGAAGAAACTCGATTCTGTACATGCATATAAATTAATATAAATGTAATCTATTATTAAACTATCATATATATATACATATATATATATATATATATGTATATATATGGATATAACAGTGCCTCCCGACTGTTGCGATGTCATAATTATTATAAAAGAGAATCTATCGTAAAGTAGAGTGAATGTTAATGTCAATCAATCATCGCTACGGGGAAAAGTGAGGTGAGACTGTAGATCAAGACCGCGGGGGGTGAAATTGTCAGCGGCGAAAGCGCGCAATAATTATAATGTGTGTGTGTGTGTGTGTGTGTGTGTGTGTGTGTGTGTACAAGTCTATAAAAGTCAGGCAGTCGAGAAATGCGAAAGTTACAGATACAAAAAATCGCCGATGATTGTCGATCGAAAGTAGAGAGAAGATTGGGATTCTAGCGCTTTAGTATGCGAGTAAGTAAATAAGTAGGTAAGTAAATAAAGTAAGTCGCAAACACAGCGAAAAAACGTCATGTGCCACGTAGTTTCCTAATGTCGGGCATTCCGGTAGTTTCTCGGGCAGCTGCATGACAGTATAATCTCATAACGTTTTTTGTACGTGATACACACTCGTAAAGATAGTCTCAAATAGATAGGAGACAGACAAACAGACAGACAGACAGACAGACAGACAGACAGAGAGAGAGAGAGAGAGAGAGAGAGAGAGAGAGAGAGAGAGAGAGAGAGAGAGAGAGAGAGAGTTCTGAATCCTAGAGTGTGTGTGTTCGTAGCATGCACTTTGCTTCTGCATAAAATCGTAGAAGATCATCAGATGCTCGAAACTCGTCAGGATTTCGGTAATCTCTCACTTGAGCGACAGCATTGTGTGGATTGATAAGGTGTGCGCGCCAGCGCGCGCGAGATCGTAATTTTTAATTGCTCGGACGAGGATCGTCCGTTTCGTCCGCTTTGCATATTTCCCTCTCTACGTGGAGTACATACGCTATATTATAGTGGTGGACGCTTACTTATTTATAATTGTCGTGTTACTTACTGTTGTCATACTGCACAATTTTGTCAAGTTCGACCTAAGCCGGACGGACAACCTCTACGAGATACAAGCCTTGCAAGCATCTCCGTTAATTCGACGTTACGTTCGCGTTGCTACCGCATTACGACGACACGGTATTTTGCTCTAGCGTGGAGGACTGGAGAAGCTAGCGGATAAAGAGTTGCGACAAGCTGTACATCCAAGAGTGGAAACTATACGAAATCCTGCATACTCGCTCTCTATATTACTCGGGTTTTTGGTCATAAAAAGTATATACATGTACATATACATTATATATATATATATATATATATGCGTGTATATATGATGTGAAGAAAATGTGCATAACCTTCTAAAGCCGTATATTTTACAGCACTCTAGCATTCATTAGAAACTGCAGTGAGGTCGTTAAGATGATGGTATGATGCGCCGCGTGAGATATGCGTCTCGCGAAGATGCAGCTGGAAGGACGAACAAATCGAAGAACGCACACTTCGTAGCGTGTCATCATCGGCTTTGTACTCGCTGTTCATCGGAAAAATCGCGATCACTTACGACGAAATCGTTCAGTGATTCGGCTATCGATCGTTACGTAACGAATCCTTTGTCGCGGCTTCTCCCTCATTTTTTTCTCCTTGGTTTCATCACTTAGACGTCAGCAATACCGCGGGATAGACCGGGGGATGAGTCGTATTGATATTTTCTTCATAAGGTACGACTCTGTATAAAATGGAATTCGAAGTTCGGAGGGAAACAGAGAGAGAGGCGGGGAGAGAGAGAGAGAGAGAGAGGGAGAGAGAGAGAGAGAGAGAGAGAGAGAATAGTCGCGTTTGATAAGAACAAACGCGAAGCCGAAGAGTCCCGCGGCGGTCGATGGACCAGTCTCGATTTGCTCGCGTTTCGACGTAGACGTGCGATGAAGATTTATCGTTCACATACAAGCGTGTGTACAGCGAGTGCACGGTACGTGATACCTTCCGGCTGGCACATTACGGGACGCATTTACGGTATTCGCGGCGAATGCGGAGGAAAGCGCCCGAACATGTGTACAGGGTGCTCTCGGCCGACAATGACAAATTTCGCCCTCGCGGCATCTTCGAACAAGCCGCGATCGATTTCTTCTTACAGCGCGGAAGTCTATTCGGATTTTCTCTCGCTCCCTCGACATCCCTCCCGCATCCCGGGGGGATCCGGTCGCGACTCGAAACTTCGACGAATGAAGATTCGCTCGGGGCGAGAATTAGAAGCGAAAAAATTTGCCGCGGCCGATGTGACTCTCCGTTTCTTCGGTTGAGAAAAGAACAACCGAGTCGCCGAGTCGAAGCTTCGAGAATAAGTCACGTCGGAAGAATCGAGATTTGTCAATGTTACACAACAGCATCCTGTTACATCCGTCTCGGTAAGAGAGGTGGCCGCGCGATTTGATCCTTCAGTTGCTTATACCGCGATGAAAATTGGAAACGTGGCCTCGAATGTAAATTGTTCGTAAAATTATTCAACACTCGCGGTATATATAGTGTGACGCGCTTAAGCACCCTCTTCGGAATATCCATTTGGATTTTTTATGCGCCCAGGCTTTTATCACATTACGTTCTTATCGCCGGGTCAACCCCGGCATACTGTGCAGGCGGGAAACACGCAACAAGGCTTTTAATTAACGAATCATCAAAATGCAAATGCAGGATTAAACCGCAGAGACACGTGCATTATTCGCGCTGCGGTGGTATATACGGTATTCATGAGTATTACATATATACACGTGTGTATACGAATATTGAAACGGGTATTTTGGAAATTACGTGTGTGTATGTGACTGTGTGTGTGTGTGTGTGTGTGTGTGTGTGTGCGCGTGTGTGTGCGTGTGTGTGTAAAATGTAATATAATATATATTATATACATCGCAGAGACAGTGGGCAGTAATAAAAAATGGCGCGGTCGTATAACCACGGCAATAAGAATATCTATATAGTAACGGTCAGAATCATAAGGGTAATAAATATAAGTTCAACGATAAATGATAACACGAGATATGGTGAAGTATATGTATGTATACATACATACACATATACATCGGGTAAGCGTAAAAGTTTTGACAGGTTTCTCCAAGACGCGTCTCTCGCGATTGATTCAGCTTTATGCGACAGCGCTTAGAAATATGTAAATACATGTACAATATATACGAATGATAGCGGAGGAAACAACGACGATTATTCGGCAGAATCAGCGAATTGTTTTCACTCGGTGCCTTTTTCTCTCTCTCTCTCTCTCTCTCTCTCTCTCTCACAAAATCCATCAAAATTTGTTCACTCACCCAATATATATATATACATATATATATATATACAACAACAACAACAATAATAATAATAATAATAATGATAATATATATAACAATAGTAATGATAATAATTATATAATCATAATAATAATAATAATAATAATATAAGAGACGTGTACGTATAATAAGTAAGTAGCGAAGGAAACGGCAAAAAGGAATTGGAGAAGAAATAAATACGTAAGAGAAATGAAATTGCCTAAAACTCGGCCATGGTGGCAGGACGTTCACGGTGAGCTCCTCGTCGGAATCCTGCTGGGACCGTCCGCTCACGGTCCTGGTCACGCCGATCTGGCCTTCCCCGTCGGTCTTGAACCTTTGCGGAACAACAGGCCAGCCAAGCAACGATCAACAGTCACATCAGCAACAGCCGCGGAAGATGTAAACATCGCACGCGATAAATTCCGTCGGTCCCCGCGTGTTTCTTATCCTCATGCTCTCTCGCCCACGTCTCCGCGGGTACGCCTCATCTCCTCGCGCGCTCGTGTTTCGTTCTTTTATATTTCCCTCTCTTTTCGTACGTGTCGCGCGCAGGAGACGTCCCACGTGTGCACGCGCACAAAGGCACGAGGATACCGCGAGAATACAGTCCACAGCGCCACTCTGTCCACTGTGAGCCGGATTAAAATTCCCTCTCGCGAATTATCCTCTCCCCCCCTCTCCCCCCTCCCTCCCGCCGCCCCGCGATCTGGATGCAGAATCGACGCGATTCGGCGATTTAGCGTGTCGCTGTGCGCGCGCATACGCTCTGCACATCGAGAATATCGTGAATCATAATGCGGTACTTGATGTAATTCACACGCCGGAAACGGATTACGCATTCCCTTACATCTAGTAATAGTGTGGGAGGAGAAATTCCGAATACACGAAACTCCGCGCTCTTTCCTCTCCTTTTTCTCGCATGTCATCTCGATCGGAATTCTCGTCGGAATGCATTTATCATCTTTCGTAAAATTCGCCTGCTCGTTCCAGGGATGAGCCGATTGGCGCCGAGCCCGCGATATCGCATTCGATCGTGTCATTCGAGTGTCCGAAGTGTCTCTAGCCAGCTATTGGCAAGTGTGTTTCTCCTACCTTGAGAAGATCTTGCGGACGAGGTGATCCTGAGCTTGGTCCAGCTGCGGCTCGTTCTTCCTTCTCTCGGCCAGCTCCTTCTCCCGGCGTACATCGGCGACTTTCCGGAAGATAAGCTGCACACAGAATTGAATTTCGTTAAAGACACACACACACACACACACACACACACACATCCGAAAAGAGTGCGTGTGGAAAATACACGAGAAACAGCATCCGGCGCGCTACAATTATTCGCGTTGTGATGACACGTCCAATTTGCGTAAATCACGTCAGCGTAAAGATTTGAACGAAAGACGGAGCGAAGGAGAATTTGCGGCTGAACGATACTTAACGACCAAGCGTTTTCGCGCCAGCGCGAAGATCCCGCGGAAACAGCCGGCGCTGTCCCGCTTCGACGTATTATGCACGCGCGTCATCCTGAATGCACTCTGTGCATATGCGGGTCATCTCAAATGCCGCTTGAAAATTGCATAACTCGCGCAACGCGCGTATTCCCTTTGAGCGAGGCTGCATTTCGAAGCTCCTCCGCTGCTCCCTTCAGCCGTCACGCCCTCTCTCGCCGGGTTCTCGCTCGCCGCAGGGCGAGCTCTCGGTCGGCCGAGCGAACACACGTACGCGCGCGCGAAACGAACGCCTCGGCGTGCGTGTTTCGCGACCCTCAATTGTCAATTCCGATTTTTCTCGGTCTTTGCTGTTTCGGCTTCGGCTTTTCGGCCGGCAAGAACGCGGCCGCGATGCGGCTTAAACGCACCCGGTGCATCGCAGCTCGCGGTGCGACCGAGTGGCTGGCGCGCAGGCGTGACGACGAAAGTCGATAGATGTCGATAAGGCGCGCGCACACGTAGCGTGCCGCTCGCTCGCTCGCTCGCGCGCTACATAACCTAAAAATTCGTTGCGCTGAGCGCGTGAACGTCGATCGCGACCGTCGTCGTCGTCGTCGTCGTCGTCGACGTCGTTTGCGCGACGCGACGTGACGTTACATGACGTGGCGTGACGTGTGAAGTATACACGTGCCGAGGACGAGGTGTCGTCGACGGAGGCGTTGCGAAGGTGGTGGTCTCGTCGCGTCCTCCGCCTTGACGAGTTTACGAGGCGATCCGGTGAAAGACGAGGTATATGGACTGCCGGGAAAGATTGCTGGTCCGTATGAAAGGTGTGTACAAATGATCACTCAGAGATAATACGCGATACGATATCAATTTAGCTTGACTTGCTCGTGCCAAGGAGATGTATGTCGTTGCTTAAGGAATATATATACATTGTGGAGAAACTTGCATTTGATCTTTCATTGAATTTGAAAATTTTGTAGTGAAAAAACGCATGTAAAGCATGACTCGCCTTGAATCGTGAAAGAAGTAACAAGTGTGGGGAACATTTGTTTCAGATGGGTCATGGGTCAAGCCGTTCAGCCTCATCAGCGAACATCCTCTCTGCGGAGGAGCTGACACTGGTGGAGAACCTGTTTAAATCCATGTCCCGCAGCTCGGGTTCCATCAAACGTGAGGACATATTCAAGCACTGGTCGACGCATCTGGATGATGTGCTGCTGCAGTTTGTGGTACGTTTCCTCTGCCACGAGCCAGGCAAGAGGGTCTCCGCTGTCAACGGCGAGAATTTTGGCCGGCTTTACGTGTTTGCTGTGCGAGGTAGCCCCGAGGAACGCACGAATCTGATCTTTGACGGTTTCTCGGAGGAGGAACAGAAGTATGAGATGCCCACCGATACGTTCCTCAAATATATTCAAGCAACGATCAACTCCTATCTACGACTGCAGAAGAACTCCGCTAATACGCACTACCTCACCTGGAGCAACATTGGCTGCACCGTCAACACCAGGCGTATCGGGATGCGTTCCCGGAGTCTCTGCGAGGATCTCATCAAGTACGGAGACGTGTTGACCGTCGACCAGGTGGAGAACTGGTTCGTGACGACGGCTACGTTCAAGAGCATCCAGTCGCACGTTTTCCAATACCTCTATCTAGTCTCTCAGAAGAAGGGTGACAAGAATATGAGCGCACGAATAAACGATCTTAATCTTCTGCCGATTTGCGGAGGTCTGGAGAACACACCGCACTTTCCCAGCATATTGGGACTGGGGGACGTGCTGTTCTTAAATCTGAGCCTGCCGCACGAGCTTCGCAATGAATGGCGATTCCTGTTCTCTAGTCAGGTGCACGGCGAGTCTTTCTCCACTATGTTGGGCAGGATCGTGATGGAAGGTGCTACGATAATCATACTCCAGGACATGGACAACCACGTGTTCGGCGGCTTCGCCTCTGACAGCTGGAAGCTGGGGCCGAATTTCATCGGGAATCAAACTTCGTTTCTGTTCAAGCTCGAGCCGGAGATATTGACGTTCTCGGCGACGAATTACAACAGCCACTATCAGTATCTAAATCTCCATCAACAAACGATGCCTAACGGTTTGCTCATGGGGGGGCAGCTTAATTATCCTGGCCTTTGGTTGGACTGCGAATACGGCACCGGCAAGTCGAGCGTATCGTGCACGACCTTTCAGAATTACGTGCCACTTAGCGGTAAGGAGGACTTCAAAATCAAACACTGCGAGGTATGGGGAGTCGGCCCGAAGCCGTTGGACGCGCAGGAGGACGCGCGCGAGATGAAATCTGTGCTGAATCAGGATCCGACATCGAAGATGATGCTGGAACTGTCCGGTCGTAAGCTGCACAGTGAAGGTCTTCGCGAGGAAGACCAGTAATGGTGATGTGCAATTTAGAGATTTTTTTCGGAAGTTGCAGGAGAAACTAGTATTAAAAGGCGAAAAGGAGAGAGAGAGAGAGAGAGAGAGAGAGAGAGAAAGAGAGAGAGAGAGAGAGAGAGAGAGAGAGAGGAGAGAGAAAAAAGAGATAGAAAGAGAAGGGAGACTAGCTGTAAAGATATTTACAAATATTTGAAACGTTAACCGATTTCGGATAGAGTCTGTGTAAATCTGTTATTGATCTTGACGATTACCGTATAATGGAGTACGCGGGTATAAGAAACGTATTTAGTAAATTGTTACAGAGAGAGAGACTCGTAATTACGCGTTGACAGTCATGATAAAAGGACATGATGAAAGGAAAGAAGAGAGAATGAGGTGGTAAATCCCGCGCGACTCACTGTTTACGCGAGTGCGTATTTTCGGGATACACGTTAGGAGGAATCCGTGTGATAACGCCGCGAGAGGCAGTCAAAGCCCGCAGCAGAAACGAATTACACTTACGAAAGCCACTGCACGAAGATTCAATGAAGCAGTACATCTGTCTGTTACATGTACGATGCTAATCTCTGTGTATGTAGGTTTCTACAGACTTGTATTTGTTTTTGTATTTGTTTTGTAATTTATCTAACGAGGGAACGTTTCGAAGAGTGATCCTCTCCGATTTTGATGAACTTGGAGCGCAACGTTGTTGTAACGACAGATTTCCCGAGAAATTCATACTTTTCGTACTCTCGGACTCTCTTCGTCAAGAGAAAAATCAGACGGTGTCTCATCATTATCTTGCCCAGTAAGAAGAAACGAGGACGGCTCGTTGCCCCCTTTTATCTTTCGACGCGTAATGCCCCCCTTCCCACCGACATATCCAGAAAGAATCGAAGTCAGGAAGAGGCGAACGCATCCAAACATTTCCCTGTGCGTATTATTAGGACTTTTGTCCCTTTTTAAACGGCCTGACGAGTCTGAATTTGCCGCCATTATTTTCATTCGGTCACTCGATTCTGATGACTTCTCGTGTAACTTCATTGTGTCATGTATATTTATGAATTTAGCGCTATGATATTAAAAGAATATCACATGCCAATCGTTGCGTGGTCTGAATGCCTATTGTCTAGTGCCTGACGAGTCGGTTGTTAATTGTTAATTTACCATTCTCCGTATGTTGAATTATATTCATACAAACGAACCGTGTGCCATACAAAAATCGCTCTTGTTAACTAAGACTGTATTAATCGTGTCGTATCGAGGAAGTGAGAGAGTGAGAGAGAGAGAGAGAGAGTGAGAGAGAGAGAGAGAGAGAGAGAGAGAGAGAGAGAGAGAGAGAGAGAGAGAGAGAGAGAGAGAGAGAGAGAGAGAGAGAGAGAGAGAGAGAATTATATCACTGCGCAAACATTTGCCAGCGATCGTTCAGTCGGCTGCACAAACCAAGGGGGAACTTTCTGCACTATTATAAAATCTATTAAAAGTTCAATAAACACACAATCAAAATCCACGACGCGTTGTCCTTTCTCCCGCTCGTGTCCTTCCCACTTACTTGCCCCTACCACCTACTTACACCTACTAGGCGTCAAGAACGTCTCTATGCACAATGGACTCACCCGGTGGCTCAGGTTGTAAGTCAAGATCAGGTTCCTGGCGAAGGAGTTGGCGAAAGCCTGATAGAAGTCCAACACCTCCAGCAGCCGATCCCGCTTGATCGTATGCAGGTCGCAGTAAGTAAGCGCCCGAACGTTCGCCGCGCTTTGGCCGACCGACGAGTTCGTCCAGAAGCTGTCGCCGAAGACGTCACCCTTGCCCAATATCGCCACCACCTCGTCGTCCTGTATCACCTCGAGGCTGCCGGTCACGATGAAGCACAGAGAGTCGATGGATTCGCCCGTGTGGTAGAGCAGATCGCCCGGCGCGCTGTGCGACATCGTAAAGTGCATCGCCAAAGCGCGCAGGCATCCGTCGGACGCTAACCTGGACATTAATTAGAGGCGCGCTTATTATTAATTATAGCGCTTGGCGAGTTCATAAATTAAAACGCGCCGAGTGCGAGCCGTGTTTGCAAGTTCCTTCTTGAGAGCTCGGAGGAAGCTCTCCCGCGCGGAGAGTTGCTTATACCCTTCATTAAAGAGCATGGGAGATACGTGTAAGTTACGTAAACTCTACTTGCGTCCACGTGGGTGGGGATTGTCTGAACTTGATGACGATGAAGTTGGCGGAGCGGAGATTGAAAAAAAAAGAGGGAGGAATATTAAGCATAAGAGAATATTAAGAGAACAAACAGAGGGATATAAATTTGGAAAATTGTCCCGAGAAGAGCGCGAAGGCAAGGGTGCTATTACAAAGATATGATTTACCTGAAGGCACCGTGTTCATTGAAGACCTTCCGATTCAGATGCACGCAAATGTCGGCCTTCATATCCTTGGGGCAGTAGTTGAGAACTTTGTTAGTGTCTAAGCCTTTCGTCATCGCCCACGTGCTGATGACGTAATCCATGACGCGCTCGCTCAGAGCCTTGGGCACCTCGTGGAGCTTCATGAACTCCCTCACGTTGTTCAGCATGTCGTGATACTTGGCGGTGGCGGACGTCATTTGCTGGATGATCGTGGTGACGTGACCGAAGATCGTGGCGTACAGTAAGGCTGACCAGGGGGAAGGAGAGAGAGAGAGAGAGAGAGAGAGAGAGAGAGAGAGAGAGAGAAAGAGAGAGAGAGAAAAAGAGAGAAAAAATGGCGATTTCAAGCCCTTATTACGCTATCGCGCGAGGCACTGTGTCTCTAGTCTAACATTATCGCGACGGTAAAGACGCGTAGAAAGACGGCGAAAGGTAGGACGTGATTCTCTCGCGGTGTCGCGCGCGTGACCTCTCTATTATTCCGATTTCGCCGGAGAATAGGGTAGTTTACGGGTTATATTTTGTATTCGTACCAGCAATGATCATCATGCAGATGGTAAAAATCTTCTCGTTGTCGGTCTCGGCCGCAACGTTCCCGAAGCCCACGGAGGTCATGCAAGTCATTGTGAAGTAAAGAGCAGTGACATACATCGTGCGGCGTGACGGGCCGGCTACTAGCTCTGGCGCAGTGCTGGCATTGGTCCACAAGTAGCTGTACGGTGACTGGGTAACATTGGCCAGCTTCCACAACCAGGAATACTGTACCCCATTGTCGGCATCCGATCGCCCTATCGAATACCTTTAACGCAAGGAGATTTCTTACGAGGCTGAATCGGCTGTGTCCGATCGACGGCTCAGATATTGATATGAGGTCGACGGATAACGCGATCTCGGATGCAGCCGATGAAGTAGCGCGCTTACTTCCCTTTAAACTTGATCTCAAGGCTTTCTGTCTCGACGTCGCGCTAGAATCCAGTTCTCGATCAACTTTTAACGCATTCACCACCCCACGATAGTCGCCGGTGAGTATTAAGATGCGTGTAATGCGCAATTGCTTACACTTACAAGATTGCAATTATGCTGAGTAACGAAGGAAAAGTCTAACAAACAAAGTGAACAAGCCAACGGATTAATATCTATGACTGTTAAAAATTTCCAAGTGTTTATTTCCACGTTTACGTTTAGCCCCCCGTAGATGAATGCCGTCGAAACAATCAGCGTGAACGAAAAGTCTCGGCTTCAAGGTGTTACGCTGGGCGGCGAATTAACTGTTAACTCGCGCTTCCTCGGCTCATTGGAGCGTCTTTCCAGTGACATTGTTTCTCGTTCTATGTTCTTTCGCGAAACATATATATATATATATATATATATATATAGGGTGTAACATCAACATACGACGACGGGTTGTCTGCCCTCATTCGGACGATAATAACTTAATCGAACAGAATAAATAACAGTAAAAGATAAAGAAATAATTGCTAAAAATATTATCATTCAATTAAAATTCTCAAAATATAAAACTTCTATAATTAAATCTTTAGAATAAAATCCAGATATAAATGGTAATCCACATAAAGAAAAACGCAGAGGTTGCCGAGAGAGCAACATTCTTCTTTTAATTTAATTCGTTTCGCCTGCTGCCATAAACGATCACGGTGCAAAATTACTTGAATTCATCATAACCCTGGGAGCACTGCAAATATCATTATCGACGAGATCAACGAGTGACTGCTATCTCTCAGCAACCTCTGCGTTATCGTGCGAATGGGGTAGGCAAACCCCCGTCGTATCGTGATATCTATATGATATGATGATTACACCCTGTACAATATATTTAACTTAAGGAAAACATATCATAATTAATGACGAAAGAATGGCAACGTTCTCGCGCGTTTTACTCGACTCAAGTTCTCTCTCGGCGCGACGACGGCCCTCGGCTGTCAATAAGAAGCGACTACGCATCGGGGATCAACGCGTGCGTTTTCCCCGACGTACGAGGACGATGCAGCAGGATAGAGGAGAGAATCCACGAGAGGAGCGAAATATAAAGTTGGTCGGCGCGGTGCGCAGTCGATGCGTGCGTATATATATATATATATATATATATCACGTGACGTACAGCAAGAATCCACGGTGACGACGTTGGCGTATATGGATGTGTATATGGCAACGATCGTATATACGCGACGTGTCACCCCCAGCCCGTACCCCGATGGCGGCGGCGTTGTTACCTTGGATATGTGCGCGTACAGGGAGCAAAATCACCTTAATGTGACATACCAGATACAGGCCAGCCAGTGAGCAACCAACATGTAGAAACAGAGCAGAAGAATGAGCATCGCGGCTCCATACTCCAGATACCGATCTAGCTTGCGTACGACCCTGCCGAGCCTCAGCAGCCGCACCACCTTCAGAGCCGAGAACAGGCTACCAATCCCGTCCTCGTCGTGGTCGAAGGCGTTGAACACGTCGTACGGCAGGCAGCTCAGCAGATCGATGATGAACCAGGACTTGAGGTAGTTCATTCTGATCACCTGGAAGCAGCAGAGTCACCCGGTCGCACGATGGGGCGCGTGGCTGTCGCGGATACGAACTGGATGATCGTCAACATTCGAATTGTTCATTTGTCTCGTGTTTGTTCGCAACTTTGCAATTCACGATGCGAGTGATTGCCTTTCGAAGATTCATGAGAGGCGCGCGACGACTCTATTTCTATCTTCTTGCAGCGATGAAGAAGCATTTTCTCAAACGGGTCCCAACAACAACGGGTTGTGCGATCGTTGTGTCTCCCCGAGCGAGATGCGCAATTTTTCATGAAGGGACAACTCGGCGGAGGTGAGTTTACCTTCGGATCGGACACCACCTCGCCGCCGGCGCCGACGAACGTTGTGTGGAAATTGAGTACGATGTCGATGAAAAAGATCACGTCGACGATGCTGTCGACGACCAGGAGGGAGACGTCCTCGCTGGTCTTGTTCTTGAATGCGACGTTATACGGCACCATGATGGCTGTGTAAAAGGTCAAACACAAAATGATCCAGTCCCAGATCGCCTTAAATGCACAATAATGCAGTAGAATGTGCGGTGGTGTTTTCGGGGCTTCTTGTCTGTATTGCGGCATAACATCGCCGCTTAAGGACATCATCTGCAAGCGCAAGACGCGACGTGTTAAAAAACGTCTCGGGCATCGGCGGCGTCGGATCGACGTAGTCTGCTGTTTTACAAATACCACCCCCCGGAATTTCTCTCTTTTCCCCAGATTTCGGCAGACATTACGCGCTTGGCACGTGAATTACATTATCGCGACTATACAATCACTATATAAGATCCAACCGCCTCCATATCGACCCCCTTGGCCGTCTCGCGCGCGTACCATTTATCTGATATCTCTCTTTTCTTCTTCCTTACACCGAGTCGGGCTCCATTAGCTTCTCACGCTCCGAAGAGCTTTCAAATGCATGAGCCTTCTGTGTTGATAGAAGGAAGGTTCATGCAGATGTGCTTTCAGCTCTCCGTTAGCTCTCGACCAAGTCGGGCAATATTGAAACGGCGTTTCTGTTTCATCGATTTAATGATTTGATGAGAATTCACAAGTTGCGCCCGCAGCGCCCGCTGTCTTATCCGTTGTCCATATTGACTGTTCTTAAGCGATTCAATAATCGAGAAACTTTCAGCGACGAATAAGAGGAAGATACCGCGGGAGCCGAGGATATTCCGAGGAATAAATAAGCAGCTATCGAGATCACAGTCGCGCGCTCTCATGCGCAGGCAAAGTGAGGCATGATACAAAGTAAAATATAATTTACAAAAGTGCGCGCGAATGTATAAAACTAAAGAGTGGACGATTAAAAGTAAACGCAGCCCTCCTGCGCGGAAATCCCTTCGCAGTCACTCACATGAGCCAAGTGCGATTGTTTGGCGGTGGTCGGCACGGCTGTATCCTTCAGGGCCGGCAGGTGTGAGCTGAACTGAGAAACTAGGACCGATCTCGACCTGGTGACCGATCTGGCGAGTTTGGCGAATTTGGAGAGGCCGCCTTTGCTGTCGTCCGTCTCGATGGGCTGCTTCAGGGCGGTGATGTCTCGAAACGTCAGCAGGAACAGGACGACGAGGTCCCGCTCGTTCTTGATGGGCGCTATTTGCAGGAGCAGCCATAACGGTGTCTCTGTGTGCATCGTGAAGGGAACGACACCGCTATTATCCGCGCACGTGAAGGGGACGCGGATCGAAGGATGCGCACACACCTAATCTAGTTTCTAATTCAGAACTACTGACGTATACATACATACATACATACATACATACGTATACACATATGTGTACATATGCATGTTCAAGCATGATCGGCCGCAGGAAGATTGGAGCGAGACTGCGTGCCGCTCGCCACAGCGGGAGTCGAGTCTACGAGTCTAGTTTCGGCTCATCGTCAATTCGACTGGAAATCTTTCTGCTGCCGTACCCCGGAGTGTTCTATCATGCCACGTGCCGGCAACTTGCGTCACGATGCTGAGAGAGCTCTCGTGCTGTGCACAATGATAAAGACGTCCGAAGGCAGCGAAGGGGATAGAGCAAAGTGTGAGAAACTAATCACGGCGATCTTGCGTGTCGGGCAAATTTCACGGACTGCAGATCGATCGTGGGGCGGCCAGGGGAGGGGGGCGTGTATGTACGTGCGAACAAAGAACCGTTAGCGTTTGATGACAGTCATCGTCGGTCGTGAGGGTTAAGCGATTAAATGACAATCCATTCCAAACCACCGGCAGGAAGAAAGTAGAGAGCGAGCGAGCGAGCGAGAGAGAGAGAGAGAGAGAGCAAAAGAGGATCTATAGAAATATATAAAAGTGAGATGCTTCGTTTGCGAAAGGACAACAAGGTTTCCCCGACAATGCAATCCTCCCCGCAACACCGTGAATAAGAACGCGTCTATCTACCTGGAGACTTTCCTCTCTACGTGACAACGATGAATTGTACCTCACTATCGACTACCGCGTTGCCTCGGCTAAACTAGCTCCGCTAAATCGATCAGACATAATAACACTTTTGACACAGGCAGCACGCTGCGCCTCTAAGCCGCCGCGCCGTGCAATCCCCGCGGCGTGGCGTAGCGTGGTGATGCTTCAACGCTAGCTCATAAGTCTCGCTGTTCTAAATTATTGTCGCGCTACGCGCGCCATAATATTGCGCTGCAGCTGTCGCATCGAGGGGAAATCGATAGACATGCGAGATCGAAGCTGTATGCGAGTTCAAGCCGATGGAATCCAATTAGGGGATTCGCCTATATACACGCTATTTTGTAGAGCAAAGCATGCGGGCGTGCGGATGAACAGTACTGAAGAGAAAGTTTTCGTCGAAGTAGGAAGAGAGGAATCGCATATTAGAGTGCTTTGTGTAAGAGAGCGAGTGGAAGGGAGGGAGGGAGGGAAGGAGGGAGAGAAAGAAAGAGTGAGTGAAAGATAGGCGTGTCGCGATCGAGATGTCTAGAGCGCCTACGATGTGTCGAAGAAAAAAAGAGAGAGAGAGAGAGAGAGAGAGAGAGAGAGAGAGAGAGAGAGAGAGAGCAGTGCTTATTGTAATGTTGAAAGTTTTGCGAAAAGCGAGTAGGCGGAATAAAATTATTATTATTCCCGACTATGTGTGTATCGCGTGTAATCTCTCGCGCATTGTTCCGTAATGAAAAGCACGTCTTTGCGCATCCCGCTCGAGAGTATTTCCCGCCCGTCCTGGTGAACATTTTCTTTCTTTTTTTTTTTCGTCCGTCGTTGTTGTTGTCGTTCGCCCACGCCATCGCGCATCGACGCGAAGAACGAGGCGACTCCGACCGCGGCGATTCGTGGAATTTCCATTTTCGGGCCTGAGGGAATACAGCCGGCGTATAAGCGTTCGATAATATTTTGGCCGCCTCTCCCCTATACGTATATATGTATTTACCGACAACTGGCTTAATTAAGCAACCTTGTAAACCTGTCGAGCAATGGCGACGTATGAGAGAGAGAGAGAGAGAGAGAGAGAGAGAGAGAGAGAGAGAGAGAGAGAGAGAGAAAGAGCCGATATGAAATACATCGGCGGTGTGTATGTACTCGCCGCGTCCGGAAATTTCGTATTTTCGAGAGACGGCGAAAGGTGCGAAAATCGTCCACGTGGGAGTCATGGCGACGCTTTTAAACAGACGCGAATTGCCGCGCGCGCGAGAGGAAAGCCGAGCGAAGCAGGTTCGAGGTCGGTCGGGATAATTGCGACGTTAGAGCGGATTTAAGAGTCGGGAAATCTAATAATCGCGCTGCGAGAGACGCCGCGCGGCCGGGGCGAGCGATAATAGTCACGGGCAAAGATACGCTATTGCGGTTTACATTTACAGCGGTTACAAAAGTGATAACTACCAATTACATCGTTGGGAAATACTGCGGTCTCACATTTGCCGCGCTACTGAAATGATCTTGATTGGTCCGATATTAAACGCTGCGCGGACACCGATTCGTACGCACGAATGTAAATGGCGTAATTATATTGTAGCGGCGTGCTTGCGACGTGTGTTGTTGTGCGTTACACATTAATAAATGAAACAGCATGTCTGAGAGGGCCACGAGAGATGAAGTTCGCTAATGACAATAATGGCAAATGAAATATTTCGGTTTCCCCGCAATCCCGCAGTGAGTACGAGTTCGCCGCGGATTCCATTCGGGATCGCGAAATCGACGCGAAATAGATAAGAGATTCGCGAGCGAGACTTCGTCTCTCGATCAAGTTTTATCCTCGTCGACGCGATAAGACTCAAATTTGCCCTCTGAATGCGCGCGGTTTTTCATGCTGCGCGTTATATTTACACGTTCGTGTCGTCCGCGGGGATAAAGCGCGAACGAAAGCGAAACTCGTCGGAAATAAAAGCCTCCGCTTATCGCAACATGGCGTTTAATTAATTCGGCCTTTATAACGCCTGGTGCTTCCCTTCGCGAGTTAATCAATCTCGTGGGGGGGTTTGATAATCCTCCCAAGGTAACGCTCCTCTTCTCACCGAGGCGAGGAACGAGAGCGCCGTTGCATCCGTCTCCGTCCCTTCCGACGATAAGGGCCATTGGCCGGGCTTTTGTCCAGCAAAAAGGCACTTAGACTCGCCCGAACGGGCGTAATGTCGCGCGAAAATATCGCCCGTGATCTATTTTTACAGCCGTCGGCAAATGGTGCTATTGCGGAGAGAGGGAGGCTATATAACCTTTCCGTTTCTAACAGCTAGCGCGAGAGACACGCCGCCGTGGGCGGTCTCCGGTTATTACGGAGGAGGGGGGGGAGGGGGAAACGAAGGTGTCTCGAATGTGTACATTAGAAATGGAATTTCGAAAAAAACAAAGTCAACCAACCGCGGCGAGGTAAAGACTCGACGGCTAACGCCTCGACTTCGAATACGCCTCTCTCGCGCCGGTGTTAATACAACGGAAAGTGAAGAATGTATCGAACGTTTTCGGCAGCGTGACAACACTGCGACGCGCACTTATTCTGAAGTTGAGTTAAATGCAATCGACGCGTGAAAAAAAAAATATATATATATATATAAAGAGTGGAAAATACGACGCGAAAAATATGATCGGTCTGACTTTAGCACCTCCGCTCTTGCGAAATAATCCGGTCTTCGGTTATTATGGCTTTCGAAGTTTGCTACTCCAACGATGTGGTTCTGCGGAAGGAGATTTAACGTCATACAAGAGTCAACGCGCGTGGAGCGTAAGTTTGCGGTATTTTCGCGACTCGCGAGATCTTCGATCTTCGATCAGATCGAATGAAAGAACGCGAGACCGTGAGATGAAACCAAATCGGACCGAGACCGAGACTGAGTAGTTGAGGGAGGAATTACGTGCGGAGCAGGCCATTTCAAGGCCTATTTTTACAGAATTTTTTTACAGAAACGGTAAACAGAAACGGTAGGATCAATGAACTTGAAATTTTCACACTGTATTCATTAACGTTCAAAGTATAAAATAAATTTGTTACTATCTATAATAAATATCTAATATACAGTAGACATGTAGTTTTCCGCTTCTACCTCAAACACAGTTATATTTTATTTTATTCGTTCTTTTTTAAACATGATTACAAGTTGAAGAAAGTTTCATTTTCGATACTTTTTTTTTCGTACAGTCATTATTTTTCCAAAATTGGCCTCACTGCCTTCATTTTGGTACGGGCTATAGTGGCAACTATATATTTTAAAAATCTTTCGAATTTTTTGGTCTCAGAGCAGTGAGAGGCCCGGAATTATGTCGACAACAAATATAGAGCACGCAAACGGATGACTGCATTTTTAGATATAATTACAAATTGGATCGGTTCTTGTGATTCAATAAAATTTATTTTCTACTTTGAACATTAATGAATACACTATGAAAATTTCATGTCCGTTGATCTTATCGTTTCTGTTAAAAAAAAATCATAAAAATAGCCTCGAAATCGGCCTCCCGCCCTGTAATTCCCCCTTTAAGGGGACTGGAGGGTCAGACCATTGCTCAAAAATCGTGCTTGTTTTTCATAATATTTTGTGACGAACTGAATAAATGTGCAAGAACGGAAATTTTAGGAAATTATAGTTATACAACATATGAAGAGTAGAAAAATTTTGTTTATTAACAAATACTACTCGTATAAATATACGATATATATAGCTGAAATATACTCTCCTTTTTTCGTTTCAAGTTATCGTTTTTGCAGTAATATCTCGGCTCTCGATGGCCCGATCAGAGCGAATTTTAGCTAGAAATCTTGAGGAGGCTTGTCATTAACCGGTGAACCACTACAAAAAAAAATCGAACAAAATTAACAAAACGGCAGCTATTATTAGGAAAAAATTCAAATTTTTCAGTTCTGTTACAATAAAAAAATTGATATCTCAAAACGAAAGTCCATGGACAAGGAGTTGTCCATGGTTCACCCGAGAGCCACATGAACAAATATTATTGCTTCAAAACTTCAAATCGATACGCGAAGCTCAGTTCGGCAGCAGTGAGTTCGGAGAAATCACTGCAAAAAGTTGAACAATGAAATTTCAAGAAAAACGCGTTTAAAATTTAAGTGGACGTATATTTACATGAATATTTGTTTAAAAACAAAATTTTTCTACTCTTCATATGTTATATAAATATATATGTAAAATTTTCATTCTTGCACATTTATTCAGTTCGTCACAAAATCATGACCAAAAACAAGCACGATTTTTCAGTAATCTGACCCTCCGATCCCCTTAAATATAATTTGTTCAGATATAGACCGATCTGAGCCTCGTTGCAGCGAGCAGCGTTATAGCTCTTCTGATAACGAGTCTGACGATTCTCGAACGCCAACGAGCGGTCGATCGCGCATCACAGCAGGTGTACCATAAACGTACACAAAATGTCGTTCCTGAAGCATCGCTGCGCGATACCCTCGTCGGCGATGCTTCTCGGACGTGTCCCGCGTGGTTGTATAGATCGTTATGATATAGATCGGTATATATATATATATATAAATATAAATATATATCTGTCATATATGGTGTCTGTGTACTATCTTAGATTCGTGGGTGACTTACTGGTGGCATTTGCGAGCACGCTTTTGCGAACCTGTGCTAGACATACCTCGTGGGGTACCTTTAAACAGAACGATCTTTCATTATTGAGCTCAACACGTTGCGTCGTATTAAGGGAGATTGCGTTCTCCTCTACTGAGGAATCAAAACTTGTCGCGCGAACGTCGCACGAGGGAGCTTTCACGGAGAAAGAGAGAGAGGGAGAGAGAGAGAGAGAGAGAGAGAGAGAGAGAGAGAGAGAGAGAGAGAGAGAGAGAGAGAGAGAGAGAGAGAGAGAGAGAGAGAGAGAGAGAGAGAGATAATTAGAGAGGGAGAGAGAAAGAGACACAGTACACGAGTATCATCGAGAGTGAGATGACGTGAGGTGACGGAATAACGAACGACGATAACACGAATCTTGCCGGTCGTACACGTATCGATGTCGCTCAAGTGATGCGAACAGTTATGTTTCGATGTTCGATCGATATTGCGCATGCACAATGATACATCTCGTGCCTCGAGGCGTTTTCCCAAAGTGTTTCTCGAGAATCGATGGTTTCGCTGTTGGCGATCGTTGTCGTTGCTGTTTTCGTCGCGACTGCGAGGCGCGTCCGCTTCGTGTACACCGTAGTGAACAATTTATGCGTACGATTAATTGAAGCCACTCAGAGAGAAGAGAGAGAGAGAGAGAGAGAGAGAGAGAGAGAGAGAGGAAGAAGAGAGAGATGCAACGAACGTACAACAAGTCCGCGAGTTTTCCTCACGTCGTTGATTCTCAACGGCGATCTTTCCAGCGCGGCACAATACGGATCTTAAGATACGACAGAGGCAACACGTCGTGTGTCTTAACGCGCGAGGAAACACACATAAATTCTCAGGGTTTACGATGAGCATTATCTATCACGCGTCACGCTCCGTGCATAATACGCGCGTAAAAATGTTACTGTCTCGACACGACGTGACGGTGCAGCGAGACGAGCTGCGGAGCTACTCTCACGGCTCTCATCTCCGAGAGCAGCGTCTGCAGTTTGACCGCGCGACACGCCGTCCCGATGTTCATCAAGACGCAAATCTCGTGCTTGGCGTGTCGTAATTATTCGACACGAGTCGCGAAAATGCCGGGGGAACGTGCGATCACGTTCGCCGGGACAAAGAGGGCATGAAGATGTGAGCGGCGAGCGACCGAGGCCTTCGGCCTCTCTCGCCGCGTTTTGATCGGCGCGAGAAAGAGGGAGAGGAAAGAGAGCGGAGAGATCGTCGCGATTGTCAACGCGGTCTCGCTTGACGCGTGTTAATTCAAAGCGGTTCCACGCGGCGAAGTGTCGCGTCGGCTCGGCCGCGCCGGCCGGTTAAGCGGCGGCGGCGTCGTCGTCGTTTTGTTTTCCATTAAACACACACGGGCCCGTTGATTGCCGGCTACTTCGAACAGTTTCCGCGTGCACGGCGCATAAAGTGCACGGTGGCGCAAATAGGAAGCTAGATGCGGCCCGATAAACACGCGCATGCAAATCTCGCGCAATAACTCCCCGAGCCCGAGACTCCGCGGGGGAGAATTTTTCTCGCCGCTCCCCCGCCCGGGCCGCCCCGCTTCGTACAACGATCCAATTACCTTACGTGACGAACGCGGCGAGAAAAACGTATAGCATCCCGCTATCCCGGCCGCGATCCGCCAATTTCGCCGTAGGATCTGCCGAGTCGCGCGCGCGATTAACACGTTCGTTGCCAAACTGAAAATTTGAATTTCGTGTGGTGGCCAAAGTTATTTTTTCTTTTATTTATTTTTAGTCGTTTTTTTTGCACGATTGAACTGGCATTGAACTGAGTCTTTTCGAGGGTCCACAATAAAAAAAACAATCGCGTGAACGGCCGTTTGAGGTGAGGGGCAACGCGACACGCGATATCACGTGAACGGCAATGAACGTGTTAAACGACGCGGGCGGACGCGCGTGCTGTGGCTCGTCGCTAGCTATCCGGCGATTTTATCGGAACGGATAAATTGATCTTTGATCCGCACTTGTCGCGCGCGACAATATCGTACGCCAAATCTGACGGTGTTCCTTCGCCTACGGTCGACGTAACTTCAATTTCGTCGTGAGCGAGGAGCCGACCGACGATGCTTCGCACTATCCCGAATTCCACAGTATCGCGCAACTTTCCGCAACTAACTCTCCGGTTATCCTTTTAGATCCTTATTTTCCTTTTTTCTTCTTCTCTTTCAGGGGGTCAGGCGGCAATCGCGAGCAATCGGCGCCGCGAAACCATCGATTCCCGCGAGAAAGCCATGGACGCCACATTGAAGCCGCCGCATGCAAGAGACTCGACCGGTCGGAAAACTTACTGTTCTTCTTGTACAGCAGGATCTCGAATTGATCGTGGATCTGACCCTCGAGGCACTCCTCGATCCTGGCGATCGTTTCCTTGTCCGTCAGCTCCCCGTACATGAATCCGCAACGGCATGACTTTTGCATAACCTGCGAACAAAGCGGCAAACGCATGAGGCCGAGTCGACTTGCGACCGATGCTGTTCGTGGAACGTGTGTGTGTGTGTGAGACGCGCGTTCTCATTATAGATAAGTAATTGTAAGGGAAGCGCGGGTAGGTGATAAATACACGCGACGTACATGGCCGGTGGAGGATCGATTAATGCGCCTCATAATTAGAGCGGCCTGCCTACTATTATTAATCAGCACTTTGCGTTCATCATGTATCAATAGAGACTGCGAGACGCGAGTTAGGACTCGACATTGTCAAACGTTTACCGGGAAAGGAAGGCGAAGAAGAAGAAGAAGAAGAAGAAGAAGAAGAAGAAGAAGGGAGCGGAGGAGCGGAGTTTCTTCATTTCGATCTCGCCTCGGCGCGTGGTCGTGCTAGGCCGAGAACTCGCGCTCGCCGCGACGAGCGTAGGGATGCAACGATAAGTCGATAATATCGAAATATCGATATATCGAGAGACAAATCTCGAATATTTTTATCGATATTTTTTTGTCTCCGATAAAATCGACGTATCAATATGAATTTTACTGATTTTCGTATTTTTCAGTTACAGCTCTGGCGACCTAGTACGATTCTACGACCGAGATAAAAATTACAAAAGTGAGTGATTTCATTAGAATATATATATATTATGTAATTGCTCGATGTCTAGTAAATTCGCTCACTTTTGATGATTTCCACCTCAACCGTTTAATAGATCTCCCGCTTCATGTATGTGATGATCTTCGGCAAATATGACTGCGATTCATTATATATTTTCTAATCTAATAAGAATACAACAATAAATTACATGAATTACATACATACAAAAATTTTTAAAAGATCTTTTCAAATTTTCCGTGCCCCCCCCCCTATGTGTATACATTTTTTTATATAAATATTAATATAAATATCGATATTTTTCAAAATTATCGATATTATCGTCATCGATGGTTCTGAATGACGATAATATCGTTATCGATATTTTGAGAAACCGTTGCATCCCTAGACGAGCGAGCGACGAACGCGCGCGAAATAGAGGACGGATGGTACGGGGAGGAAGTAGGGTTGCCAAATCCAAAAGTAAAGATTACCGGATATTTCTTCTTTGGTAACAAACCCAAACCGAACTAAATCGGTAAAGATGTAATAATCATAACGTTATATTAAATACAAAATGTGACAAGAATTTATTTACAATATTAATTTCCAAACAATTTTATAAACAAGACTTGATTGAATAAAATAATAAACTATTACTTCTTATATATATATATATATATATATATTCCATATATATATATATATATATATATGGAATGATGGATCGGCGGATCATCTACTAGATGGCTTTTTTCGTGGCGCTCGATCGTTTGTAGACGCTTGAAACGGAGAAACATTGCTAAAATCTCAATTCTCATTCCATTGATTGGATATAACTTAAAAGCCGGTCATATGACGTCCGGTTTGACTTATTAACCGGACACTGGACGAGACTTCTGAAAACCTGACAGTCCGGCTGAAAACCGGCGGGCAGTTGGCAACCCTAGAAGAAAGGCGTAATTGCGAATAACAGCCGCCGTAAATCAGAGCGCGCGCGCGTAAAGTTACATTTCCCTTTAAATAGCCGCGGATCCCCCGCGGATCGATCGCATGAAAGTCAAATCCGTCCCCCGGCTCGGAAATAAGAATACGCGGAATAGCGCGCGGGGTATCTTCGGACGGGAAGGCGGGCGCGCGCGTCAAACGCCATAAGCGGCATCAGTCACGCCGTATAAATTGTGCCTCGAAATATAGCGATCCCAGGGATCGATAGGGGCGGATAGATTGGGCTGACCCGATTTTTCTTATCAAACGGCCGACGAAAGCGAGAAACGGCCACCGAGGGCTGCCATTCGTGCGGGATATCGGGCGTAGCGGCCGATATCGTGTGTGTGTTTTTCGACCTCGAAACAGATTTATTAATCCCGTAGCGCTGACCTTTAAATCCCGGCTCGACTCGCCGCCCCGACGCAACAGGGAGCGATATAACTTCCCGTGCCGTGCCGTGCCTCGAAACCTGCGCCCTGCAATTTTTTTAATTGGACGCGCGCAATCAGCCCGCGATCAGATAACGTCGACGCCGACGTCGACGTCGACGCCGTCGCGGTGTCGTCAAATGCCGTCGACATCGTGTACGCGCGCCACGTGCCTGGCGGGGGAGGAGGGGAGGGCGGGGGGAAGGGTTGAAGAAGCACGGGGAGAGTCCTGCCTCATCGTCGCGCCATTAACTCGCGCCGCGAATTCCGGTATTAGAGAGTGATTTGTTTCGAATAATCCCCGACTCCATCGAGACACACAATGCTGCCGCGCGCGCGCGCGCTCGTATCTCTCGTTTCAATATTTGTGCGAGCGTACGGATGCGCGATGAAACGGCACGGAAATAACGCAATAGCCATATTTCCCGTACAAAGCGATAGATCGCGCAGACTCTGCCCTTTGTTTCTCTGTTCTTTTTTTTTTGTTTTTTTTTTCCCACTAGCTCTCGCTCCTAGCGTATGCACATTGAAACGCGGGGTATGACCGCGAGCTGCGACAGCAGCAGCACTCGCAGGGAACGGAAATGCCGGCTCGGATGGGGGTGGTGATCGGCTCGGGTTGGGTTGGTGATCGGGGAGCGCTATCGGCCGTAACGCTACGCTGCGAAAAAGACGTGATTCTCCTCCGAGGAAGGCGACGTAAAACGCGAGAGGGAGAGATTCTACGATTGTATGATTACATTAACCCGATTGCGTCTTTGAGGCCGCCTCCCCTGGCTGTAATCGGATTAGAGAGAGTCATGATTCTCCTTGATAACGCCGTTAGAGTACGTGGAAGTGCAATTCAGACGAGCCAAAGGTCGTCGCGCGCGTGTTTTCTATTTCGTTCCCGCTCAGGCGGGAGAAGATTTATCGTCGCTGCGCGACGCGCGCGCGGTCGTACGGGAGCGGAGAGAAAAAGAGATTGCGACATTAACGAACTCGCGAGCGATGGCCCCTTTATCGCGACGTAATTGTCCAGGGAAGAGAGAAAAAAAGTCGCAGGCTACCGTCACCGCTAACGTCACCGCGAAAACCGTCGGAGGCGCGCATCCCGCGGCGGCTCTCGTCGTCGCCTCTCCTCCGCCCCCCATCGCGTAAACCTCCCCACAAAAGCACCCCCAAGCCGGCTGCCAGTAATGGAGTTTGCAAACCCCAAATCCATGTATCTTCCCGAACAATAGGATTGGAACATTGGGAGCCTTACAGGAACGATGGTTACTCAGTCTCTCCACCTCTACGTCGCCGTTTTGTTCGACGACGCTGCGCTGCCATGCCGGGGCGTCGCGTCGAATCGTGCTGAACCGATCGAATAATTCAAGATGCTCGATATATTGGGTATTAAACTTCGTCACTGTAAACTGAAGTGTGTTACAACGACACGCTTGAATTTCGTTTCGAATTGCGTTTCGTTGGCACAAAACTCGACATATTGAATGCGCCAAAAAAATATGTTATTTACACTTCGACCGAATGGAATATACTGATTCTTAACACGTTCATTGCCGTTCTTCACGCGATATCGCGCGTTGCCCCTCACGCGATTGTTTTTTATTATTATGAGTGACAAACCAGGACCCTCGAAGAGACTCGGTTCAATGCCAGTTCAATCGTGCAAAAAAACGATTAAAAATAAATAAAAGAAAGAATAACTTTGGCCACCACACGAAATTCAAATTTTCAGTTTGGCGATGAACGTGTTAAAGCCTAATGACAGGGCTTTCGTATGAAGAAGTTGGCTTCAGTAGTGGGCCGATGCCATTAGGTGCTCATTGCGCCATTCTCTTGTAAATCCTTTAACATCAAGTTTAATACCCAATAAGTGGAAACAGCAATTTTCGCGTGTCTCTCCCGACGTCACTTTACGATTCCTTCTTCGTCCCTCCGCGCAGCAGCGCGCGATCACCGCGTATCCTGTTTACCGCGGCGCGCATGATTTACGACTGTTTTTTTCTGTTTCTCCTTTTCTCCTCTTCCGGAGGGGTAAGTTCCACGTGGAGTCAGTTCCACGTGGAACTTTCGGCGAACGCGTGGATCGCTATGGGCGCGCGGATCTTAATCGACGTTTATTCGCGAATGAGTCAACAAGAGGCTGCGTGCACAATCGTTACAGTGCAAGCGATATGTGGAGTGAAAGATGAGCTCGTTCCCCGGGAAACTGTCCCGGGCCGAATGTTGGGTGTGGATTTTAACAGCGGCTCGGGGAGCAAGACGCTTGGAATATATCGTGAGCGTCTTCTTCCCTCCCCCTTGGAACTGGACTCCCCTTTTTAATTTCGCGCAAATCCCGGGATTCGGCCGGCCGGCGCGCACGATAACGAAATATCCCGTAATAATCCTTAAACCGAGAGTTAAATTATTCGGGTCCGGCGGGTAAGCCGTATCATCGATCGGGCAAATTAGCCATTAGCTGAAGTTTGATATCACGGACCGCTGCTCGCCGCGACGATAACATCGCTCATGGATTTCTCGCGCGCGCCTTGCGCGCCAACTCTTATCCGTGCGCGCGCGCGCGCGCGCGCGGCCATAAATCGATGTCGATGAATCAACTCGCGCCAGTCGCCGAATCCTGTTATCCGCGCCGCTCGCGCCACTCTCGTCCTGCCGGGTGAAGGATAGCGCGCGGGATAACCGAGCCGTTGCTCATACAGCACCGCCAGGTGGACGGATCTCGGGACGGTTGTTTCGGCATACACACGGCGATGTAGTAAATAACGTTTCGGCGGATTAAAGATCGACGCGATGCGCAGCGCGACCGAGCGAACGGTGAAGCGAGGTGCGAAATGTTACGTAGCGTCGAGAAATTGCGCCGCAATTGCCGACTCTCGGCTATCTATTGGCTTGTTCGGAAAGTAATTTCGGGTCTTTTCGAACAGATGATGCTGGTTGCCTTTCTGGAGCAGTCAATCTCATTTCAAACCAGAAAATCATTTCACATTTTTACAACGCACATTTTAAGCTTCATTTCAGCAAAAGAAAAAAAAGTTGTTTTGGAATTGCGCTAGGAGAAATGTATTGTTGCGTGAATCAAAATTTTGTTGTAACAACAAAATAATTTGGTTAAAATATGCCCAACGGAACTGTTTAGTTCCTGCAAACAAATATCTTGTTTGATTACGGTTTGTTCGTATAATGTAATACTTTTGTTACAGCAAGCAGAAAGCTTGAACTGAATATGAATTTTGTTAAAAATACTATAATTTTTTCTTAATATATAAAATCTAAATTTTAGCGCACAGAAAGACAAAATAGTATCCATTGGGCATTATTTTAGTTTATGTAAAATAATATTTCGTTATTATGTAACTTTTATGGATAAAATAACTAAAATGCTTAATTTTTATATATAAAGTCTAAGAACAAAATCATTTGGTCCAGAGAACAAAGCAGAAAAATATACTTAGTTGTGACAACTAAATATTTTGTTATATAAAACAAGATATTTGGTTGCTATTAAAAAATGCCTCAACCAAACAGTTTTGTTAGAGATACTAAATTCTTTTTCCTAGTGCGGTCAAATTGTTTTTGTTTGGCGTCGCATCCAAAATGGAAAACCAACGTGCGCGTTTTCGTCACATTTTGCTTTTTTATTACCGTAAATGCAATGATGCAGCGCAAGCAAGAAAAGAATTGTGTGCCGTGCATGGAGAGAATGTGTCGACTGAACGCCAGTGTCAAAATTGGTTTTCGAAACTTCGTTCTGGGAATTTCGACCTCAAAGATGCACCACGTTCTGGAAGGCCAGTCGAGGCTGATGAAGACCAAATAAAGGCATTGGTGGACGCGAATCTCACACAAGTTTAATGACTCGCCAGAAGTTGTTAGCGCTTGGATGGGATTCGCTACCTTATCCAGCATATTCACCTGATCCGGCACCATCCGATCATCATTCCTTTTGGCCACTGCAAAAATCTTTGGATGGTAACAATTTCGATTCAAATGAAGATGTCAAAAACCACCGAATTCGGTCTTCAGCCAATAAGGACCGGAAATTCTACGAGCGTGGAATCATGTTATTATCTCGAAGATGGCGAGAGGTGTTGGAACAAAATGCTCGATATACTTAACGGAATAAAACTTTTCTTTCTATCAAAAATATCGTCTTTCATTTTCATAGAAAAAACCGAAATTACTTTCCGAACAAACCAATAATAAAATGCGCATCGGCCGAGACGAATGAACTTCTCGAACGAGCAGACCCGACACGCTGCGCAAAGCAGTCGGTCTGCGATAGGTTTGATAAGCCTTCAGTTCCGTTCGCTCTAATTTCGGGGGAAAAACATTTTCCACACAAGCCACACGCCACCACGCTAACTGGAGTCGGACGAGCTGGTTTAAGGCTCAAGGATTACGACTTCAGACAGCAGCGGGGAACTTCGGCTGTTGGCCGAAGATTAAGTCTTGAAGTTGGAGCAAGAGGCTAAAGGCTTATTATACCCATTGTGGATCGCTACTACTAACTGCTCGACGAGGTTACGCAAGAAGCGCGTCTCGCACGTCGCGCGCGAATGCAAGCGTGGAAGCGAGGAGGTGATTCCGCGAAAGACGTCGGAATGAGATTAGATGAAGAGGATGAAGAGGAAAGTGGGCAAAACGAGAGAGAGAGAGAGAGAGAGACGGGACCTCAAGTGTTAATCGTGTTAATAAGGTGTACCTCATACCTCGGCACGATTGTAGCCGGAGATCTTGCAAAAGCTCTCGTTGCAATAGACGATCGGGAAGTCGACGATCTGGGCGTTTGCCAGTAGGAAGCTGCTATCGGCTGCGAACAAAAAGAGGAAAGAACGAGACATTATTCCTTTGCATAATGGAACGTGACACGCTATAGCAAAGATACACATTTCTCTTCGTCTCTCATCTTTTTCTCCCCCCTCCCCCATCCCCCCACCCTCTCTCTTGTTCTCTTTTTTTTCTTTTTTTCCTTCGCTCGAACAGAGCGCCTTTTGTTCGCGGTTTTGTTCAGCGCTGCTCTCTCCCTGGATACGAGGTGGCGTCTCCTTCTCCCCTTTGTCCTCCATTTCGCTAGAAATTCGCAAACAAACGCGCGCGCGTTGGATCTGTCAAACATGAGGCAAACGCGAGAGAGAGAGAGAGAGAGAGGGGGGGGAGAGAGAGAGAGAGAGAGAGAGAGAGCTCTACACCAACCGAATTCAATTTGGAGCGTCTCGAGCGCGTCACGACTCCGACTCTGAGAGTCGCAGTCCGTTTCAGCCGGCGGAGCCGGTCTCGTCGTCGAGCACGCGCGCTCGCGGCGCTTCTTCGACGAGGACGTAACTGTTGTGTCTCGTCGACGAGCCATTAAGCTAATATATGACTAACACGCGCGCAGACGGCGAACAAAGCGGCAGACGAATGCGCGCGAGTCGCGCGTCTAAACCGGGCGGACTTAACCGAGAGCAAGCGTCCTCGGCGATAAATCACAGGTATCACACGCGGCGTACGCGCGTAACGAACTCGGCGTTATGCCGATGTAAAAGTGTCGCGTGTGTCGACAGTGCGACGAATCACATGTGGCGAATGGTCGGTGGCGCGGTAATCGATAGCCCCTGCCCCCCCGCTCTTCCTCGCATAAATCCACATTATCCGCCTAATGGGTGTTCCGCAAGTTTTTCGACGATGCCGGTTCATTTAAAGTTGGCCGATAAATTACGCGCGCGGGTTATTAACAACCGCGGAGACAGCGCTCTCCGGGCTCATAATGCGAGTTTCGCGGAAACGCAGCGGCGCGGGACGAACAACAGTGCGGTGGACGCCGCGCTGGGGGGCCACGCCTTACCGTGGTTATCCGATTAACCGTCGCGTGTAATTAGCGATTGAACGAGGGTCGATTTGTTTGCCGATACTGCCGGCGGGCGCCGAGCAGTCAGATCTGTCATGCAAACAGCGCCGGCAAACGATCTCCCGAAAACGAGAGAAGTCCCCGACGAGAGTTCGGCGACGAGTCGACGACGACGACGACGCTCGTTCGTCGATCCGTGACTCGCCCTGCGCTCATTATAACCGCTCCAATATTACGTCACAGTCTTTGTCGAAGCGCGCTAATGAACATAAGCCGTCGGAGCGGTGATCCTGACTCGAGAGCGGTTACCGCGGACTCGCCGTACAACGATCGCGATTATTATGGCCGCCGGCTAAACGTTCCACCGCGACCGCGAAAGCGCTGGTTTCCGAAGGACGATCGTTCTCCCGCACGGGGAACGTCGCGCTTACGTCGGGAATATCGACTCGGCGAACATCGAACTTAGCCCTTTGAGGCACGTATTTTTCAGAAAATCCGAATCATATGAGAATTTATATACCGGGGTTTCCGAGGTCGCTTCCGACCGACGAATCCGTTATCAGATTTTCGAAATTCCAAATGGCGGACGGCAAATATGAAAAATCGCGATAATTTCGGTGACAATGAGTTTCGGACCTCGGATTCGTAATCAGCGGCCTTGAAAGCTAATCAAACAATACAATTTCAGCTAATCATATAAAAATTTTATGATCCGCCATCTTGGAAAGTAAATTTTAGAATATGGACCTCAGATTCGTAATCGGCGAGCTCAAAAGCTAACCAGAGTACAATTTTAGCTAATTTTATGCACATTCTATGATCCGCCATCTTGGAAAATGAATTTTAGAATGTGGATCTCAGATTCGTAATCAGCGACCCAAAATACCCCCAGATCTTGATTTTGAGCAAAAGATTCACTCATAGTTCGTGGAAAATGATTTTTTCTCTGTGAAAAATGTGTGTTTCTCACACTTTGTTTACTTATAATAAATGGACAGACAACCTCATGCAACCTCTCATGTATGCTCCCATATCATATAAGAAGCTAAAAACCGCAGAAAATCCGCACAAGATCCCGCAAATATGAAATATTTCATGAAAATGTGAGAATAAATAGGTAAGTAATTAGTATAATAGCTAAGTAAGTATATGCTTACCACTATGCCTCAAAGGGTTAATCCACGACGTGGATGCGGAGGATTCATAAAATTTCAAAACGGTCGCCGCAATATCGCGACACCCACGAAAGCGAGGAGGAGCAAGGGGAGGGGAGGGAAGGAGAAGACAAAAGAAGCTACGTCCGCGTAAGAAAAAGCACGCGAGGACGATCGTTATCCCACTATAGCCTCGCCGTCGCAGTGCGACTCGCTTACCGGGCATCCCTTAAATCTTAAACGATGATCGTCTAACGATCCGACTGTAAAGGACGCACGAGTGCTCGTTAACGACCGGCGAGTCGACAGAGTCGTGGTGCGACAGCGACGGGCGACCGCGGCGGCGGGAACTTTACGGTATTGCCGATTTTACAACGCGCGCACGCGTCAGCGAACGATTAGGACTGCGATCCACTTTGCGCCAGGATCACGATTGTTGCAAATGTTCTGAACGCTACGCGTGGAATACGGTTAGATGACGCGGCAGTCGCTACGGAAATGAACCAGCCTGTAGTCCGTTCCAAACTTGCGATTGAATCTGAAATCGAGGGGGAGGGCGGAGGAGGAGGCAGATTTTTGGATATTGGCAAATTGTAAAACTACTCTGTGGAATTTTTTTATGGTACCTGAAGAAGCAAGAAGCACAATCTCCCTTAGTTACGTCTGTCTTATACGTAAAACTTGTCCCCTCATTGAGCGGCGTTCCCGGCATCTTGGGCGTATTTTTACTACACAACTATTCGAACTTGCCGTCAAGCTTGCGAAGGCCACAAATTGTGAGGTAAAGCGTCCGGAGCGCGATGGCGGCGAAAATGATGATGTATACGCGATGACATAACAAACTGTGCCGCAGCGTTTCGTAAGCGATAAACGAACCATCCGCTTAGAGCGCTAAATGGATCGCGGATCAGACCGAGTCCGGAAAAGTACCGCTTTCTTTTTCCTCGGCCGACGGAGGAACGCGAGAGCTTCTTTCTCTTCGTCCTCTCTCGGTTACGCGGGAGGAAAACTCCCACGCGCGGTTTGTCGAGTCGCGGTGTCAGCAAAAATTCGCATCGGCCGACGCACGTCGCGATTAATTATGCAAAGCGATGCGCGGAGGACAATGATTGTTGCAAGCCCGATAATACCCCGCCGCCCGGGGACGATATATCTCCGATATCCAAATATTGTCGTCTCGGAAATACAAATTCAAGCGACGTCCTCGCCGCGGCAGAACAATGCGAGTGTCTCGGAGCGGTCGGGACGGGGGAAGGGGGGGACGTGGGAGCGAGGGCAATGTAGGCGATTAAAAAGGACTCGTTCGCGGACTCACGGCTGGTTACCGCTATAATGAACTGTCGCGCATGCGGACACTGGGAACAGCCCCCGGTTAAGCAGCGCGGATCTGCACAAGTACTAAAGCACTATTTCTGTCCGCCATTCCTATTCTTTCTCTATCCCGGGGATCTCGCGGAAAGTCTGATGCACTCCACCGAGCGTATGATCTCTGAAGTGGGTCCTGTTGCATTCAGCGCGTTGTGAAATATATACTGTCCTATGTGCCGGCTATATATACGTACGTACCGGGTGTATCCGTAACATTTGCAGCACCAGCCGGTCGTCGCGCGGAGGCTTTCAACGACTACGAAGTGCTTTCGAGGGGACACTCGATCAAAAGTGCCTCCTTGCTACACCGTCGACCTCTCTCTCTCTCTCTCTCTCTCTCTCTCTCTCTCTCTCTCTCTCTCTCTCTCTCTCTTTTTGCCCTTCCCTTGCTCCTTCTGTTCTCTCTCCTCCTTCTCCTCCTCTTTCACCTCCTTCACCTCCTCTTCGTCGACGGGACGAGAATTCCCAACAGAATTTAGTTAGTCGCGTTAGTATGGATTTTATGCGGGCAACTATTCACACGACCACCTTGGCTCGTCCGGAATGCAAAAGTACAAATTTAGGTGGGTAATATCGTAAAAACATGGCGTAACGTACGCGAGAGTACGGCGACGTAGGGGGAGAGGAAATGTCCACACGACGGAATAATTCGTCGTTGTTCCAACTTGCGGAGGGGCATCTTTAGAATTGGAACTGTGTGCCTTTTCAGGCAACAATGGAACCACGGACTATAATACTCGGGGACTTATTCGAGGAGCGAACGTATTCTTAATGACTTAACAAATGTAATATATATGCCGGAAGCAGCTTCTGTGAGAAAGGAAGGAGGACGTAGACGTGGACACGGGAAGTGAAGCGGGACAGAGACACGGGCTATCTTCGAGCGATGCTCGGTCCTCCGAAGGTTTATGCGGAGATATTTAACGCTTTTCAGCGCTTTAGAAAAGTAAGCTGTTGGTAAATCTAATCCCGCGAAGCGAAGGAACTCATGAATATGTACGAGGATCAAGGGGCGCGCGGCAAAAGCTTACACCTCGTAGCGCCGCATAAAATTTGCGACTTAGAAGACATATATATATATATATATATGTCTTCTAAGTCACTCGTGAAATTTATCAACTCCCCTCGCCCGCCCCCTCTGACGGCGCAACAACTTTACGACGCCCCGAATTCCCGATTAGCGCAGCGGGTTACCTGTTTGTAAATGGTCAGTCGAGTGTATTTATCCGCGAAGTAGCCGGACGCCATGTGTACTATTACAAGATCGCCACGTGGTTCGCCACGGAACACAACAGAGAATCAACCCCCGCGGTCGATCTGCAGTTATCAACTACCGACCAGGAATCGGTCATCGAGAGTCCTGAATAATTACCGGCGGATAACTGGACGTCCATCCACGCGACGCGAACCGTAATTCTCCGACTGATTCTGGAACTGATCTCTTCACACGGCGGTACCGCC